TTGCGTCCCAGGTGTAGATTTAAAGGGCCCAGTGTATATGAAATTAACTATTGCGAATACCTTGAGTTCCCTGAAAATCATAAATAATTAACATCGCTTTGGTCCCAATAACGTGCAGTACAGAAAAAGGGACGTGTAATTCCTAACAGAAATGTATGGCTAGTCGCTTTTGCTTATCACGAAATCCAGATAGATATTACATCGAGCAAGCCATATATTAGACCTAAGTCTCCAGGTGACTAGGATTTTCCTCTGTGAAATTAATCAAAGGTTTCATTGACGTTATCAGTAAAAAAAGAAAAAAATCCTTTTTTATTCTGGGAGACTTTACTGTCCACTATCAAGACTAGCTGTTTCCGTTTTAACTGGCTGACCACGCTGGGAGAGACGCCCGCAATTTCGTCTTACCACCTAGTTTAATATTACAATAGAATAAAACAAAGTACGAGTATATAAATGTATATGTTTCTAAAAATACATAAATGGCGCCTAATAATCACTTCTTCCCTATTTTAACCTATTATTTAAGTTGAGAATCATAAGAAACTTCAATACTAAGCGTTAAAATATAAATGTATTCCTTGAAAATGTACATATAGAAAACGATAAAAGGAAGCATCTATTCAAATATGCAACAAAAAGACAGGAGATTTCTTCAAAAACTTTGAACGGTTTGACAAAGGTTTATAACTAAAAGGGACCTATTAATAATATACTCGTCGATTGTTTGGCAGAAGTTTGTAAAAGAAGTTATAGTACATCAAATAAAAAGGGATGGCGGATTTTTATTGCTGCTTAAAATCTTATTATGTCTTACAGCTAAAAAAATATAAATAAATGTTACATATGTAAATATGTATTAAAATATTACTTTTTTCATTTAAATGTCTCTTTCTAACATTTTGTATCTCAAAGTAACTTATTATTAACATCATTGGTAGGTCATATTAATGTATTATAAATAAATACATAATAATATTCTGGAACAAGGATAAGTTTTTTATAAAATTCACTTTTGACTAATCTTTCTTATAGTAATAGATTAATTTAAGGTATATTACCAAGGGATAAAAATTTTGGATGAGTTAGTTTTGAACCATGTAATTTAGGGATGCATGCATGCAACGACGTATTAGGGATAAGTAATGAGATATATACGTATATTTTACAAAAAATTCACAACAACTATTAAACCCAAGGACTCATAAACATATTCAATCTTGGTCGACGAAAAAAAAACAGGACAACATATTATTGTTTTCAAACTTTTTATGCTTTTGCTTCTCTACATGCATTATTTATGACGCGTTGTTTGTAAATACTTAACCGTATAGTTGAGTTGAGTTATAGTTGTCATCCAAAGTTCCAAATTCTTCAGTAATATTTGTAACAAAAAGTTATATATGTGTATATAAATAATAGTTTTTAACACACCACATAAAGATCAACTCTATAAATATGTGCATTCTTAAACTAACAATACTCTGTTCAAATTTATACAAATTATTAGAGTATAACTGTAGAAGTTTTATTAGAAATGAATTCAAGAAGTCCGAGGAGGTTTTGTGTAAAAAGTTCAGAACATTGTTAATACGAACAAAACTTGGAACTAGTCTCCATAATAGGACTCAAACTAAATGAATAGAAAACTTAAGAAAGGCTACTGTATTGAAACTTTTGTATGGTAAGTAAATTAACTATAAAGAAAATACAATATATATATATATTATACATATGTATATACCTTATACAATATATATATACCTTCTCCATGTGAGGTCAGTGGGGGACTAGTAGTTAGAGGGCACGCCTCTCGTACCCGAAGGCTCCGGTTCGATCCTGGCAAATACCAATGTGATTTTTCTAGGTCATATGTATTTTCTTAGTATTTAGACATCACTGACAGACGATGAAGGAAAACATCGTGAGGAAACCTGGAATTATAATTTCACAATTATAAGTTTGAAATCATCAACCCGTTTTGAGCAAGCGTTATGATTAATGTTCAAAACTTCTCCATGTGAGAAAGAGGCCTTTGCTCAGCAGTGGGCTTTGATAGGCTGATGACGATAACGACGATACATTATTAAAAAAATATATTGTGCCTTTTGTTTTCTAGATAACATTATTTTTTAACTTTACACACTAATTTGTTATTAAGAAATCGTTTAATTATTAAGTCAGATTTTTATTTCATGAACAGATATTGATCGTCAGTTAATCTTCATAATTAAAGTTAATTAACCTTGTTAATTATAATTCCCTGAGTGTATAACGGACCAATTAAAATAAACGTTGTTTGTTTTGATTACATAATTATTATGGGAGATGTATAATTACATGAAAATTAGGTTGTGAAAGAGTTTTAGATTGAACTGCTTACAAAATATTAATTGAAACAAGAAATAAAATTAATTACTATGAAAAAAATAATTTTTAAAATACTTTAAAATTAACGAATTTCATTTATAAATTAATTTTTAATTTAAAAGACAGTCAAATATACGGATAATGTTAAGCATTTTCTCTTAACTAATCTTTCGATAAATGACCGCTTTATAATATTTCCCTAAACTCAAACTTTTCGAACACCTTCATATAAATATCCTTTAAAAAATATTTCGATATATTAAACTTAATTACATTATTAAGAACCCAAAATAAACGATTAAAAATAAATATATATTTCACTTACAATACATGTAGATATATGTATAACAGATATCATAAAATAAAACATTAGAACAAAAAGGTGTTAAAATCCAAAACGATTAAAAAAGTTAGGATCTCTCTGTTAAGCTTTGGGCTTTAGCCAGAAAATTAGAAATAGAAGGAAATTAAATTGACTAAATCAATCCAAGGTATCTCATTTATCATTCACCACTGAAATTTAAATGTTAAATGTAACAACACTTATTAAAAATTAAACGAACATCGCCGGGGTAATATCATTAATATGAGTATGGATGAAATATATCATCGTATGAACCAGGAGATTCCTGACACCACACAAGCTATGGAATGGTATTGCTATCCTAACATCGGATCAATCATGTAGTCTTAGGTATAGGTTATAAGTTTTAATATGTAATTCTTATTATAATATATATCGGACTTATTCGTTGTTTTTAAAGAGAGAGACACCAGCTTCGCTGACGTCACTGATGTTACGTCTTTCAGTTCGTACCATGATATTTTAAAATGAAACTTCTATTGTTCTTATTGCTCCTGTATTTCTCGAAGGTTCTTGATTATTTAATGATCCGCACTATCTGAACTCTGCCGCCGTGCGTCCAGACTTTATATTTTAAACACCAAGACTTAAACATAGTTCTATTCTTCCTTTAAACAATCTTTGATTTCGTTTTACTTTTAACAACAATCATGAATACTAATAAGTTTTAATAATAATTGTTGACAGGCTCAAGTTATTTTCATGTCGCATCCGTTATTAAAGCTGGTAGCGCCGATATATTATGTACATATAAGTAAGTTTCGTAGTTTACCCAAACCTTGGGCATCTGTGAAACGCACACTTTATAATACATTCAAAAACAAACATCCCTCCAGAGATTTTAGTGTCATATATTCAAAAGATATATTATTTAAATATATTTGTAACAGAACATCTCAAAACTAAGATTAAGTTACATTATTCATGAGTTTTTGTATTTTTCTTTGTGTCATATAAAACATCAAAATACGTTACTGATGAAACAGATTTATGAATTTATTCGATATATTTACATATTATTTCGAAGAATTATGTAATAAACTTATGTTTTGGTGAAAAATAATTTGCAATATAGAAATCTTATTATAATATATACACAAAAAGGTTTTGATCGTTTCAAATGTGTAGTTGAAATTCCTATATACGAGTATGATATACAGGTTGACTGGTGAATTACTATCAATATTTAAGGAGAATACTCGGTACATGATTCTTATTCGAATAATGTAAAAAAAATAGGTTACTTAATTTTTGACCAAATTTCCGTATAAATAAATAAAGTGTGGACACGTTCCAAGTGTTCCAAGTGTGGACGCGTGCAGCGGCGTGCTGATACAACACCACGCCGCCTCACGCGTGTGTATACCTAATCTGTAGGGTGTTCACACGATGCGTAATTAATAACATAACTTTTGGTTAACTTTACTTAGAAGTTTATTAATATTTATGTTATATTAATTTTTATTTTGTCATATATGATCGTCAAATATCACTTCACCCAGTCACCCTGTATATTCCTATAAAAGTTCAAAACTACTCTCAATGAAACAAATCGAGGTACATATATTAATTCCTTTTATGAAATCTTAAAGCTAGAAGAAACTTAAATACAAAAGACTATAAGCAATCTTATTATAGACTTGTTGTGCGTCTGTGTGTGTGTAGGTCTGTATGTGTGTATGTGTGTGTGTGCGTGTCTGTACTAACGACGACGTCATCGACTGTGTCAGTCGGCCTGGATTGTTGCCACACGAAGTTACACGAACCAGTCACCAGTGTATTCAGTACACCTGCTAACGTACACTTACAACAGAACAATCAAAGTTAAAAGAAACCCTATGACGATGATATATGATTCAAATTTGTATAACTTCTGGCCATCTTTAAAGTAACGAGAAATATTAATAAAATTTTCATTAAAATCATGTATTCAGATAGTACTCCAGATTTTATTATAATGAATGATACTAATACTACATATTTTCTTTATATATTGTTCCGATACTTTTAATATAAAACAATAATAATGTAGTTTTATTATTATAATAACTCAAGTTATTAACTATCTATAAACTATTCAGTTAAATGGACATTGGACATCAACTGCAAGTATTATTTATAGGTGATAAATGCATTTGGCGTAGCGTCTATGAGAATGAAGAAACAGTTTGGCCGACCGTTAGCTGGATGTCGGTTCAACTCAAAATATATTTTAAAATTACAACAATATGATCAAATAAATTAAATAAAAAAAAACTCTTTAATTATGCCTGTAAATAAAAATGGAGGAAACTTAATGTGGGGTGAGTATGGCATTAAGTAAAAAATATATTTTCTTTCCATATAATATAAATAAAATAGTTTTTAGAAGTTCACCGAATTAAATTTTCCAGGGCTGAAACTGTCACTCCTAATTGTTCTACTATGCGGCGGCGTGCAATGTGCATTTCGTAATTTTCAAGCATTGAAAACGAATATATATATCGGTAAGATACTATTAATAATTTATATATTAGAAATAGAATATAATACTAATATTTTTTGCTTTTTCAGGTGTAATACTGCCTAATAATACTGTGACTGAAGTAGCATTCGCGTCAGCACTAGCCAGGGCGTCAATGGAAAGCGAACAATATCGTTATTCAATGAAAATAGTTTACGTGACATATGGTGATAGCTTCGCAGCTTCGAAAGCCGGTATAAAAATAAAACTATCTAATAAGAAAACGCATACATTTGATAATAATGGTTCTATATGTGATTACTTTCAGCAAATAGCGTAAATAATTTTGCATGCTGTACATAAATAAGTCAAGTTAGTGTATTATTAAACATTCATTATTATTTTTAAATACTATACAAATATTGGTTTAAGAAACGTTTCCAAATTATAAGCAGATTCCGATAAAAAAATAATTAATCTTTGTATGTAGCTAATGTTAAGAGAAAGGTTAAGTCAATCTCCTCTTCTTCTACCTGGCAATTTCCCAGCTATAGCCAGGGTCTGCCTTACATGTTGTGAATAGTTCTTGGCTATTTGTTTTTACGACCGGCCGCCTGCCTGACATCAACCCTCTTTTTTGGGAATCAACATTAATCAGTGATGTCTAAATACTCTTAGAAAGTACATATGACTCGGAAAAATCACATTGGTACTTGCCCGGGCCAGGCTCGAACCCGCGCCCTCGGTGACGAGAGGCGAGCCCTTTAACCACTGAGCCACCACTGAGAAAGGTTAAGTCAATATGATGTTATTTTTAAATGAATACTATTATATTATGAATTCCAGCTTGTGAGCTTCTCTCAACTGGTGTGATTGCAATCTTCGGACCAACTGACACCACTTCAGCCGCGGCTGTCGAAGCGCGATGCAGGTCTGCAGGGGTTCCGCACATTCAAGTAAGAACATTCAAAATACTTTAAAATATTTATCAAAACATAATTTTTTGAAAGGTAGCTTGAATAACAACGAAAATATATCAATAATGTTGGAGAAGTATAATCTGGCGAGGTGCAGTGGCTGTTTTTATTTTATACCTATAAAAAAAGTGCTCGTCTGTCGTGCGTCAATTGTTTTATCGTCTTTCAAAGAATATTTTTCTCATGTTCTTCATTAAATAATAAAATCAAAAGTTATATATTGAAATATTTTAAGAACTATGAAACATCATCTATAGTTATACACTTGCATACATGGAATAGAATTTGCGTGTATGTATTATATGCTGACTTTTCTGTAAAAAAAATTGTAAAATTTACATGACATACAAAAGTACTCACGGTAAAAATAACTTTGAATTTGAGTTAAAACGAATATTGAACAACGTACCTATGTGATGTGACCACTTGTACAAATAACAGTACTATGACTAGAAATAAAATATTTCTATATATTAGAAATATTAGAATGGATCTTTGATGTGTTATCAAAGATTTTTCTAATATTTGCGATCTCGTAAAATAAAAGCATTCCCTTTTACCGTATATATAATACATTGTGTTAATTTAGGATGAAATCTATGTTTAAATTTCATGAAGAAATAACCATTTTAATTAACCTTATTAAATATTATATTTTATCTAGGTTTTACATTTTTATGGATAAAATGAAGGTAATACGTACCTCCCAGCTTTAAGCAAACATAATTCAAATAAGCCCTGAAATTTTTAGATATAGCTTAGTACTCATTAAGATAAATTTGCCAAATTTTGGGTTTTAATAAAAATAAAGATATCAATGGTATCTTAAAAACAAGGGTGTAACAACACTTAAAGTTTAGTCTTTTTATGAATGTTATAAAAGGACCATTTTAAGTTGCAAATTCGTATGCAAATTCACTGGATTATATTTTAAATAATATTTTATGTATCGCAGAAAGTAATATAAACAGATAACATGCAATTTTTGACATTTTATTTGATCAATTATTGGAAATGACGTCACCCAAAAATCATTATAGCAATATTACAAGAAAATACCATATGACTTAACCATTAAGACAAATATTTGTATCTAAATGTTCATAATTTTATTCTACTAATGATTAGAATCCAAAGATGCGTGGAATATCCTTGTAAGTACTATAATTCTTGAAGGCATTATGGCGCCCTCCTCACGTACGCGGTCTGGAACGTTTCTCGCCTCCTGGAATTAATTTGTACCCAGAATCCGTAGCGCTCTCAAAAGCGGTCGCGATTTTCATAAAAGACAGCGATTGGAACACTTATACACTTCTTTATGACGATGATCAAGGTAAGATATTGGAAAATTAGTTACAAGAAACAGTAGTCAACAACAGACATGACATTCATTTATATGGTTTAAACAATTAAATTAAAAATTACTCATCAATTCAGGACTTATTCGGTTGCAAGAAATATTAAAGAATGCCCAACCAGGACATAAATGGTTAGCACGCCGGCTACGTCCAGGAGAAGATAATAGACCATTACTAAAATTATTAAAAGCCTACGGTGAAACAAGAGTTATAATAGATTGTCCAGCTCACAGAGTGCTCGAATATTTGCGACAGGCGCATGAAGTTAAATTCTTTGAGGACTATATGGTACTTTATTTAATATCAAATCTTTGACATCAATAATATTATACCTAAAATTTTTTTTTTTTTTCAGAGTTATGTTCTTATGTCACTCGATGCTCATACATTAGACCTACAAGAGTTAAGGTATGGCCTATCAAATGTAACATGCTTGAGAATCTTCGATCATTCAGATGCTCGAACTAAATCGTACCTAGCTGATTGGAAGGCCAGAACTTCAAATGACATTAAAATGCCGCAGCAAACGCACGAGATTACTGTGAGGGAATTTTTATTTCATCTTGCTAATATCTATCAAATAAGTATATATATATATATATTATATATATATATATATATATATATATATATATATATATATACACATATATATTATATATATACATATATATTATATATATATATATATGTGTGTGTGTGTATATAAATGTGTGTATATGTATGTCTTTTTTTGGCTAATATTCATATTATTTAAGAAAAATATCATTAGATACTATTAATTGGTAAAGAAATACGTATATACAAAAAAAACCCTCTACTTATTTTTGTATAAATATTTATGACTAAATTTCAATTATCACCTACTTCAATCTTAACTTCTGAATAACCAACAATAGAATTTTATTATTTTCGCAAATATGTTCATAATTAATTATATTTATTTCTAAAAAATAAAATATAAATCTTAATACCAGATTGAAGCAGCTCTTGCTAGTGATGCAGCAAGACTGATAACAGATTCTGTGGAAAATGCACCAAAAGAGTTCAAAATAGAAGCACAGTCGATTGAATGTAACACAGAGTCTAAATGGGAAGAGGGAGAGACTTTCACAAATCATCTATTGACGGTAGTTATTGTTTCATTTTGAACAAAAAAGAATATGAAGAAAATTTTCCGTAATTTATATTTAATACTTATATAACGAGATCTTAAAATTTCACGAGTATTCATTTAAATGAGACCAATATTTCCGGATTACTACGCGTATATTATTATTTTTAAAAACTACATACTTCCGATTTTCGGTTACTTTGCAGCCACCGTATTCACAGGCATTTCGTCTATAATTTTTAAAAAATAATAAAATACGCGAAGTTATCCGAAAATATTAGTTACATTCATTCACTTATATTTTTTCTCCCGTGTCCTTTGCAAAGTAGTAATGTTATAGTTGCATCAAATAATATGTCTCATAAGTATTTTTCAATTATTCTGATATACAAATTTTAAGAGCGTACTAAAAGAATAAAAGTTCATTCAAGATGAAAAAAACATTAAAACTTCCACGACTTGAAAACTTTACGAAGATTAAAATACTTTTTAACATTAGACTAGAATTTAATTTAAGAGTAAAACTTTATTACAAATCTGTTTTTGCGAACTCAGTCAATTTAAATCACCACACTAATAGGCTATCAAAATTCCATTCTTATCGACGGATTGAAACTTCCTTCAAGTAATAATTAATCTTATAATTAAACATATGTTTAAGAACTTATTTCTTTGTTTTAGAATCCAATACAAGGCATAACGGGACGCGTGCAAGTAGACAATATAACAGGAGAGAGAACGAACTTCAATGTAGAAGTTATGGAGTTATCTAACAGCGGTTTTAACAGCATAGCAAAATGGAACGCGGAAACCGGCTTTATTTATTCACGGACGGCGACCGAGGTTTCCGATCTATTAGCTGAAAAATGGCAGAACAAAACATTCAAAGTAGTTTCAAGAATCGGTGCACCTTATCTCGTTGAGAAAATACCAGCTGAAGGCGAGGTATTGATCGGGAATGACCGATACGAAGGTTACTCTAAAGATCTCATACATGAAATCTTAAAAGAAACGCTTCACTTAAATTACGTTATAGAAATAGTTCCTGGCAACGAGTACGGAAAGTATAATAAGGACACCAAGAAATGGAACGGTCTTATTGGACATCTCCTGGAAAGGGTTTGTTATCAGTTACATATATGTACATATTACATACATATAATGTTTATACGTTTGTACTGAAACTGTGTTTCGTCCTGGTAAGGTTCTATTTAAAAGTATACATACGTCTTTTGTATATGATTTGAACGAAATCATATTATATATTCAATATTAAATATACAAATAAAAGTATTGATTTGGATTGAGGTCCCAAAGTTCTCACATGAAATTTAACTCTTATATACGCTATAATTTCGTTGTCTTAAACTTTAGTTTAATTCAACTTTCGAGAGTTATCCGGAAATGTATTTTTATTATAATGTTTGTATTTCTTTAGTTTTTTTATTTATATGAATAAAGTTATTATTTTTAATTTATCTATAAGGCAATTATCGTAATTCAAGAGGCCTGAAACGAAGGGAGTCAAAAACAGTATAAAATAAAAAATATAGCCATAGCCTAAAATTCTATTTAAAAGAAACGCTATCAAAAGTACATAAACCCAAATGTATTTGTTCTTTTATTTCTAAGTATTCTTAAAAAAAAACACGCCTAGAACTAAAAATGTTTCTTTTCATTAAGTCTCAATCGATCTCCATATGGTTTTTATGATATTCAATTAACTTTTTCATAACATTTTTCTATCATAATTACCTCTGCATATTTTATAGTAAAATAATTTTTATCTGCCTATACAAAACTTATTATGCTTTAGAATTTATGTTTCACATTAAATATGATGTTTTAAACATAAAGTAATATTAAGATATACGTATCTTCTATATATATATATATATATATATATATAAAAATGGATTGCTGTTCCTTAGTCTCGCTAAAACTCGAGAACAGCTGAACGGATTTATTTTATCTTAGTCTTGAAATGTTCGTGGAGGTTCAGGGAAGGTTTAAAAGGTGAGAAAAATTGATTCATTTTCGGGAAAACCCTAAAAACAGCCCTTTTCTATTTCCCATACAAATGTTTTCTTTGACATTAGATTTGACAACTAACTAATATGTCAATCATTCTGTTCGATTGAAACAGGAAAAACCTGATTATTTATGGCCTCAAGGACGGAATAGAGTCAGTTCGCCCGGTCAGCTATACATATATTACTAACTAGAAGACCTAGCGAACTTCGTATCGCCCTATAATCAAGAAATATCTATTACGATTTTTATTTATATTTTTGGAGTTTACCTGTAAGCCTTAAATCTGCGTGTTTTGAAGTGCGACAGAATGATTGACATATTAGTTGTCAAATCTAATGTAAAAAAAAACGTTTGTATGGGAAATAGAAAAGGGCTGTTTTTATGGTTTTCCCAGTAGTGAATCAATTTATTTCAGATTTAATACCTTCCCTGAACCTCCATGAACATTTCAAAACTAAGATAAATCCGTTCAGCTGTTCTCGAGTTTTAGCGCGACTAAGGAACAGCAATCCATTTTTATATATGTATATAGAAGAAGATGATGATGAAATTAACGCGGACGAAGTCGCGGGCAAAAACTAGTATATAATATTAATTGTTATGATTTACAAGCACTTTGTTTCACAGAAAGCTGATTTGGCTATTTGTGATCTGACTATAACGTACGAAAGAAGAGCCTTTGTGGATTTTACGACGCCTTTTATGACTTTAGGGATCAGTATTCTGTATTCAAAGGCAACTCCGCCAGAGCCGGAACTTTTCTCATTTCTAAAGCCATTCTCGGTGGATGTCTGGATTTATATGGCCGCTGCATATTTAATGGTTTCATTATTGCTACATATTTTAGCAAGGTATCAATTCCGATACATTTTAAATTTTCGTATTAAAAGGTTACTTATACTACCATTGATGAATTAAAGATGACTTAAAAAGTCCATAATTCAACGGCTTATTATTCTTATGAGTGTTAAAAAATATATTTATTTCAAACACTAGATCGTAAAAAAAGATTATTATATAATTGGTTAAAATCTGCTTTAAAAAAATCAAAAATTAAATTCAATTTAAATCATTTTTATTCCAGATTCGCTCCAAACGACTGGGAGAATCCCCATCCCTGTGACAAATCCCCTAAGGAATTGGAAAATATTTGGCATATCAAGAACTCATGCTGGCTTACCGTCGGATCGATTATGACCCAAGGATCTGATATATTGCCGAAGTAAGAAATTCCATGTAATTTCATCAAACACATTCCTCGCTTTTTTGGTATTCGAAATATGTTTCGTAAGAACTTATAATTAAATAATAATTTGAATGGTTCCATTATACAACGCGAGACAAGATAAGAAATATTACGACTGCGATTACTATTATCACTTCTATTAATATTTTTAATGTAATGTGATATTTCTAATGTACGTAAATTAGCTGGTTCCTTTTAACTTGCTTACAGCGCTAATAAACGCTCTTTCTATACATAATACCAGCTATTTATCAAAGATATTGAAAAAATAGTACCATTCTTTCGTAATAGCCCTTAATTAGCCTCTTTATATTACAATGATGAGTATTAAACATGTAGAATAACAAAAGGATTTAATGGTCAAAACTATATCTCTAATTACTTTTATATAAAACCAAATTAATTGAAGTCTATGAAGACCTATTATATGTATATGAACATGAACTGATGTCCATTGGCGACGGTCACTACGGTCGGACGGTCCAACAAGTAGGCCACCTAGTTGTTTGCCACCTTTGACATAAAAATCTTAAAATAACTTTCAGAGGATACTCCACAAGATGGGTGTGTGGGATGTGGTGGTTTTTTGCTCTCATTATGTGTTCTTCGTATACCGCAAATCTTGCTGCTTTCCTCACAAACGCAGCCATGGACGATTCCATTAAAAACGTTGAAGATCTGGCTTTGCAAACTAAAATCAAATACGGAACTGTAGATGGAGGTTCTACTTATTCATTTTTTAAGGTATATCTAAATTTTTAAACGATTATTTTATATTCAGATAAAAAACCTTCAAACCTGATTTAATTATACAGAGGTCCAATGTGTCTACATATCAAAGGATGTGGACTGCAATGGAAGCAGCACGACCATCAGTCTTCGTAAAAAACAATGACGAAGGTGTAGAACGGGTGCTAAAATCAAAACGAGGATACGCTTTCCTAATGGAGTCTACCGCTATCGAATATCAACTTGAAAGACACTGCAATTTAATGCAAGTTGGCAACGAACTCGATTCTAAGGGATATGGTATTGCCATGCCTTTTTGTAAGTTATTTTACGTTATAAGTCCCATAATATTTTACCATTATATATAAATCTTTAGCAAAAGTTATTTTTAATATTTTGATATATTGAACGTCCAATTTCATGAATTCGTTCTCACGTAACATACATCATATTCCTAGAAATAATATGAACAGCACTATGAAATCCTAAACGACTTTTCGTGGAAATTTAATACATTAGCGCCAAAGTAAGATAAATGTGTCATATTTGATTTTTGTTTTAGTTTCGTCTTATAGAACAGCGGTTGATAATGCTCTTCTAAAATTAGCTGAAGGTGGCAAATTGTTGGAACTTAAAAATCGTTGGTGGAAGCCAGAAGAGGAACAATGTGTGGTAGGTGTCACTGTATAATTTATTATAGCTTACAACAGACTTTAAATAATATTTTAATAAAAATGTTACAAATTTAGTTAAGCACTTTGGAGGTGCCTTACTTAAAATTCAGCAATCAAAAAGAACGCGGTTAAGGAAATCGAGAATCATAATAATAATAATCAACTTTTATTGGTGAAAAAATTACACAGAATCATAAAAAACAAAACTTTCATAATATTATTAAAACTTGATATAAACTAAAACTGAAATATGTAGAAAATTATAATTTTACTGAATAATAAACTTTTACATTTAAAATTTTTATTTACTATAAGAAAATTATTTTTCGTTCAGCAAATCTGTGATTACACAACTTAACAATCCTCAATTAACTTTTGAAACTGCTCTCGTTTTTATTAACAAAATTTTCGTTATTGGACCCAAAACAATTTCCATTCCATTCATACTAGAAACCATCATATAAAAAAGTTTTTCATTATTCACTTCCGTATTCTATTTCTTTTAGTATCAACAAGGGTAAACAGTCTGTAAATTATAATATACTTATATTTCTAGTGTTTTTCTACCCATTATACAACTCCGAATTGAGACTGAATTGGTATACTTAGAATTTTTAGAAGTTAAAATATTTGGCATGTCATTTAAGGAATGTCGTTTAAGAAATATATAGAATTTTACAACTTAAATCAGAGCTCTACAGCTTCAATAAAAATCCGCTTGAAATGCGATATTATATGTTATATTTAAATTTATTCATTTAATGACGATATCATTTTAGAACTTTAAAAAATCGTAGATATTTTTCATGACAATATAATTGATGACGTGTAGTTTTCATTCTGTTTATGTATTCTTGGAAAGCGATTTATTTCTTTGGTCTCATTATATACCTAAGTGATGAAATGTTGGAAATGTTTTACAGTCAGAAGAAGTTGGAGATAAGGGAGGTAGTGCGGTGGAGCTTGGTGTAGACAACGTGGGTGGAGTCTTCGTTGTACTAGCTGTTGGTTGCGGCCTAGCAGCTTGTATGGGAGGATTTGAATTCCTCTGGCACGTTAGAGACGTGGCTGTTGAACAGAAGTTAAGTTAACTGCACGTTTAATATTTACATAATTTTTTTGCTATTCCACTTTAGTAAACTTGGTAAAATGAATCCTTTGCAACAGGAGAGTACTGTCGCCTGAAATACAGGTTTATACCTAGCGCAAAGACAGTAGATTTTATTTATATAAAATACCTTTTACCTTTATGTATTGTGATCAGATTATTTTAATGTCTATACAATTGTAATGTGTTTGGGATAAATAAACATTATTAAACATTATAAACATTAACTTCTCATGACATTTATTTATAGGAATAACATGATTTGAATCTGATACTCCTAAAATTTTTAGCATTAATCTATAAAGTGGCCATTTATTTGCATTTCAGTCATCAAATTAATAAAAAAACATTTGTTACATTTTTTAATTTTTATTTTTCTCATACAGATTACTCAATCTGAAGTTTTCTGGGCGGAATTGAAATTTGCTTTGAGTTTTTGGGAAACTGAGAAGCCTGTCAACATTTCCCGTTCATCGTCAGCTAAATCGGAGAACATCGCTTCTAGAGCATCATCGGTGTTACGATCTGTACTGGATTTAGCCCATCTTGATGTTTTTAATAAATGAATGAAACATTTTATATGCATAGCTTACGTCATTACGTAATTACCAGCCTTTAAAATTTTTTGTATTATAAAATGTAATTAGATATTGTATCTTTAGCCATTCAACGAATATTCCCTTTAATCATAATTTTATTATTAAACAGAAGTAAAACAAATAAATCACATATAGTCTGATAAAATCGTTATTCTGCTTCTGAGATGTATATGTCGGGGCGGGAACCATTCATTATCTCCTTTCAGAAGCTCCCGACATTACCGTATATAAAAATAATACCAGTATTATGATTTTAAGATATCTAAAACATTTAAGTAACGTAGGAAGTTTTTATACTCAATTTAAGATGCTGTGCATTGTAATTAAATAATTTCTTAACTTAATTAAACGAATGAAACGAAAAAATGAGTAACATTTTATACACAACATTTTATTATTAATATATAGTTTTAGTTATTATATGTATTATTACATTTTACATAAGTATTATATTAAATATCCTCACTGGATAACTTATATAAATGATTGTTCGCCATCAAAAATTTAATCTCATTACAATTTACAGATCATTCAAATTAACTACATGACCTTACAATTTCTATCTAATTTCTAATACAGCTTATATAAAGTTAGTTATATAATATTCATTTATTACCATCGTAATATTGATAAAATATCAATACGGATTCGTATACACAAAAGAATTATGTTACATATTCAATATCATATATCAGATTAATTAATATATCTCATCGAAGTTAATGAAGCTGGTTGCTGCTCGTAGTACTGAGACAGCTCGTGATTGTGAACGCTCTCGAGATGGTGATGCTGTTGAAGGTGCTGCAGACCTTGGAGGAGCAGCAAGACGGTGTAATGCACGAGGATCTAACGAAGCATTCCACTCGCTCACTATCGCCTCTTTAAACGACACCTGTAGATATTATTATGATTAATTTTTTCTTCTTTTTCTACCTGGCAATTTCCCAGCTTTAGCCAGGGTCTGCCTAACATGTTGCGAATAGTTTTGGCTAATTGTTTTTACGACCGGCCGCCTGCCTGATATCAACCCTCTTTTGGGAATAATGATTAATTTATTATGTTACAAACTATTTTAATGCTAGTTTGTTTATATTCTAGATACTAATGTCGTTGAGAGTAATATTTTCAATGCAATACTCGCCATAATCCAGCCGATTGAATATAAATGAACTTGGTTTAATGGACTAAGAATATGAAATGTTTAATATTCATAGGAGAAAATTACGTAAATATATACTAGTCCTAGGGTTTAACAACTTTCTTAATAACCTTTTATGTATAATAAGTACTTGAAATGACCTTGAATTCTTTTATAAAAATGCATTTAAAATATGTTCCAAAATATATTGATATTTTATTACGATTCAGAAAAAATCATAATCTGTTAGAATAATCCTAAAGTCTTAACCAAGAATAATTCATTCGCACAAATAAATAACCATTATTAATTCGAATGACTTATGCTAAAATTCGATTTAGAAACGAGATAATACAAACAAAACACAAAATAAATAATCTTTTAGTAATTGATTATTGATATTAGAAAATTGAAATAAAACCGTTTCATATTAATGTGGCTTAAGCTTACTAACTTATATACATACATACAAACACAAACCCACACACAATCAAACACGCACAAAAACACTCACATACGCATACATACAGCTTACTTATTTATTGAAATTAGGTGAAAATTCACTATATTACATTTAACTAAATCAATAACCTCATTGGCCATATTCATTTGAAAAATAATATCAATATTCACATAAAATAAGCTCATATGTATCACAAATACGAGTAAAACCATAAAAAATATCTGTTTTAAGGCACTACTTACCTTTTCAGTGACACAAATCCTCTTAGCATGCAGCAAAAAGTCTATAATAGCTACTAAGAATCCTATAAGTCCGCCAGAAGCAAGCACAATGAAGATACCGCTTGTGTTTTTCATTTGCACAGAGCCGCTATTTTCCTCGGTTTCAGTTTTCTGGGAATATTAAAACGAAGAACTTGAATTTCATTGAAATTTCATAAAGCACTTTAAAAAAATATTAGCTTTCATTCGTGGAATTTGTCATAGCAATATTTTTATTACCTTACAATCTATAGCATTGTCCTCCTCTTCCCACCATTTCGTTTTTAACTTCAACAATTCACCTGATTCTTGAAGCGCTAGTATCGCATTGTCAATTCCTCTTTTATATGGTGAATCTGAAAAATATTCTGTTTATTATTTGATTAGCTCAATATTAATGAGAGGATTTTTATAAGATAAATTTATATAATAGATAATTATAGCAACGATCACTTTAAAGTGTGTAAACATAACACAAATGGTGCTGGATAGAAAAGAAAACATGTTTTTGAACAAATTAATTTATGTTAAAATTAATCTGTTTATAGCCTTTTTTATAAAAATATAATTACATACCTATATATATATATATACCGACGATACCTTTTTTTCAAAACATTTGAACAACAGAAGTCATGTGTTATATGAGTGTAATATTTTCGGATTACAACACGTTATTTTTAAAACTACATATTCGTTTACTACCAACGTTTCAATTACTTTGCAGCAACCGTGATCACGGGCACACAACATGAGAATTCTCATCGTTTTAAAAATAATAAAATAACGCGTAGTAATCCGAAAATATAATTTTCATAACAAAACAATTTTACTGACTTTTCGGCATTGCTATTCCATAATCCTTCGAATCTAGTTTCCCTCCAGTCATTTTAAGACTACAGAATCTCTGCGTATAATATTCAATAGATGTGGACTCCATGAAGAACGCGTATTTTCCTTCACTACGTAAAACACGATCGCGACCTTCCTCATTTGATGTAGTGAAGACAGTAGGTCTTGCTGATTTCATCACATTCCACAGCTTCTTGTATAAAGTATCGTTAGATGTCTACAAGATTTAATTAGAAAACATTACTAATAAAACATTGAGAAAACAAACATATAGTAATTAAAAGAGCATACATTAAATTTCTATTATAATATTCTTTCCATTACTTCCTATACTGACACTTAATTGGTCATAATATTTAACATGCTGAAATTCTACTGACATATCTAATGTATTTAAGCGTAGATAAATGTATTAAAAATAATGTAGCATAACATTCGATGTAACTTACTTCAAAAAATCTGTAAGTAGATGCATTGTCGAGAGCACCATAGGAAATAGAATTTTGATCAACAAGGTCAGAAACTTCTTGTAAATCATTGCTCCGACGACTTGCACTGAGAAATGTCGACATGTTGGCTGTGTAAGATGCTGTGACGATAAGAGCGAAGAACCACCACATTCCAGCGACCCAACGAGATCCCACCGCCCTGAAACAATCATAAAAATATACTCACATGTTAAAAATTAACAGATGACAACCCTAGTATAATCAAGCAGCAATCACAGAACTGAGCTATAAAATAGAATATTTTTATCTTGCACATAATACAATGTGTTAGGACAGAAATTCCACACAATAATTTGAACCTGGGTAATATATCGCAGCCCTGGGTCATGATGGACCCCATGGTAAGCCACATGCAATTGTACAAGCTCCATATGTTTTGTAAGTTCTCAGGATTCTGGTTGCACGGATGAGGATTCACCCAATCGTCTTGACTCATACTGAAAACATTTTTAAATTGTATATATCACTTAATAAATTAAATAAAAGATTTATGTATAAAAAAACATTTAAATATATTTCATAAAAAAAATATAACAAACGTCAGCGCAAAAGATAAACGGTGTACTCAATCAAAAATAACATTGTAGAGAAAGATTGTAATAGCTCCACTTATATTTTTATTTTGATTTTATATTTTCATACGAATAAACCTGTTTTCAATTCAATGAATTTCAATAAAATTCACGAACAGATGCGCTTTATAATTTTCGACGAATAATTTAATATTAAATAACATCAAAGTTATATAGAAAAATATTTGTTATGAAATTTGATATTTCAAAATTTTCAATATTATATTTAGCATTAATTTGTTTTTATGATAATAAAAGTGAAAAGTATTTCACCTTTAATATCATAAATACTCACCGAGCACATATAAGAAGGACAAAAGATACAATAATATATATCGTAGCTAAATATAACCACACATCCAAAGACAAAGGCTTTATGAAAGAGAACATATCAGGTTCTTCAGGCTCTGGTTCTTTGGTCAGTAAACCGATTCCCAAAGACATGAAAGGCGTTGAGAAATCTACTAGGGCATTCCTTTCTGATGTGATAGCTATATCACATATTGCTAGATCGGCATTCTGAAAAAATATTAATATTTTAGTTCGAATAATTTGTGTGAGGCAATAGGACAAATATTTATCGGATTACTTCGTGCGTTTTATTAATGTAAAAACTACATACTCCCGACGTTTCGGTTACTTTGCAGCAACCATGATCACGAACATACGAAATGAGAATCCTCATCGTTATCAGAATAATAAAATACGTCTATTAATCCAAAAAAATAGAGAATACTCGCGAAAGTCTTAAATATGAAATAGAAACTAATTTAAAATACAACTTACATGATCTAGCAACTCTCCTATAAGTCCACTCCATTTTTTGGTACCAGCAATGGGATGACCATAGTCGTCACCGCTGACTCTATAAAACTCATACTTGAGATCCTTCCCATTGTTTCTCATGTGCTCAAATATTTTGTCTATCAGATCCACAGCATATCCTCTGAATGTAGTCGTTTCGTTGGAGAAATCGAAATAAGGTTTGCCTTTCCTGGATACAACCTGAAGAAAAAATGTTAATAATCACCATAAAATTATATTAAATTGTACGTATTAATTCATTTTCTTACAGTTTTACTATATTTTATATTTTCATAAAAGTAATAAGTAAATATTTCTCATGTACCCGTATAACAGACTTGGAACTTTTTGCTGAAGATCTTTCCGTGATGTCTTTTTCAGTATACAGTGTGTCAGTCTTATAGTCCCATTTGCCGACGTAAATAAACTGACTCTCGTTACTCAGTTTGGAGTAATGGAGGACGAAATTTGTTCTTTTTCCATATTTATCGAAGTTTATATTACCAGTGAAACCTTTGTAAGTAGTCTGGTAAACAAATATGTATAATTAGAATCACGAATTGGTAACAATTGGTAATACGAGTATTGTGATAGTTTACGAAATGTTTGATGATTGAAAAAAGTAAAAGAAATTAAGGTAAATGTATTAAATTCAAGAAAATTTATATATCCTTATAACTTTCAATATATGTACATAATATATAAAATCTATAAGTTAAATATTTTTTTATTATTTGACATAAGCGTAATATATAATTGGGTTTTTGAATAAAAAAATTTTTTGTGATAAATGGAAAGATCATATATAAGTTTTATAACAAAACTATTTTTATTTTATTTTTTTTGCAATAATTAAAAAGTTATTTCAAAATAAAAATTAAATTTTAAATTCAGTACCGAAGATGTGCCGACAGCTCGCGAATAAACGTGTGACGTCACAATGTTAGTTTTTGCTCATTGTAGCATACAGTTTTTATCTAGTAAATTCTGTTGGCATTGTTAAATAATCAAAAATGTCAAAACTCAAAAGTTATCGCTCTTGTTTTGTACCATTATGTACAAATACTACAAAAAGAACTCCTAAAAAAATGTTTTTAAATGTTCCACAAGACGAAAAACGTCGAAAGAAATGGTTTCAAGCAGTGCACCGAGAATATTCAAAAACAAAATCAAATTTTTTTTGTTGTGAAGATCATTTCGATGTAAGTATTCATAATAATATTGTTATTAATTATTATTTATCTAAGTGTATAAATCGAATAAGTATAGTTCAGTAATTATTTTTTTTACCTGGGCTCCAAATCATAACCTTTAGAATCGTAGTATTAAATTTTTTTTAATTGATAATTCAAAGCGATTAAATAGTAAATCTATATGTATGTTTGTCTAATAATTGGAATTCAATTAATAGATATTTTCATAATTTTATAACATTCTAGGTTCTGTATCAGACTACATTTAAATTTTTAAAGTATATGTTAGTTTGTTTTTTTATAATGTTATAATAATATTTTATTAATTCTTCTTTTATTATTCTTCTTCTTAATTTTTCATTGATAGTTAGAGTAATTGAGTAAGCTTTACTCCGAACTCGGTGTTCTGGACACACACGTCCTTTTAAAACACAAATACCATTCTTACGATTAAGTTGAACATAACCTATAGCTTTATCACCGTAACTCTCACGTGATGCTCTACAATTAATGAAATAATTATTAATTATATTTAATAGAGAATAAATACTTATTTTCATTTAGAATAGTATTTTTTAACAGACTTACCTTGATGCCTTAGCACCTCGAACTTCAGCAGAATTAAACCGAACGTCATTTTTTAAAAAATTTGTTATCATAAATATATCAACATCAGGAATATTATCCGATTTTGCTTTTATAAATCCTTTATCACACATAGTCGAAATAAACTTTTCAAATCGTTTTTCACTAATAAATTTGAGATATTTTTATCAAGTTAAAGATAATAGCCATAAACACTGTTCTATTATGAAATTGCTTTAACATTATGACGTCACAAGTATGCTGACCAATCATGGCGCGTTTACAGTCACGTGATATATTTTTGAATTTTATCAATTTTTAATTGTTTATAATTAATTAAAAAAAAATATTTCAAGTTTTTTGCATTAAAAATCCAATATAATTAATAATAAAGTTTTAAAATACATAAAAAAATCAATACTTTTTTTTTTTTCAAATACTCAATTCAGTAGTCCATGAATGATAATGTATGGAGTATTAGTCTATTAAATTAGCCCATACACAGGCAAACTTCACTATTGTGCCTTGATTTCAACAATAGTAGGATAGGAATATAAATATAAAGGTTTTATAAATGCCATTACAGAAAACGTATATCTAGATTTGACTTGATTTTAAAACCTTTAATAAAGCATCCCGTAATGCTTCCCCTTGCGGCCAGGCTGCTTCTTCATATTCCTTGCTTTTCATAAAACATAATGATGGTGGATCTGCTATTGGTATTAGTCTTCTAGAATATTCTTCTTGATCCTCGATTTCCATCAGCATACTTCTTATAGCTTTATCTAGATGACCCAATGCATCCGCAGTCAAGGCCGTTTCCAACTAAAAAAATACACAAATTGCAGTAAAAGATATAAATAAGAAATATTTAATTAAATCATTTTACCCGAATATTATAATTGCTCATATCTTTGTCTATCCAACGTATGTCGTTTGGCATAGTCAAGTGCAGTGTTGATACATTGGCCCTGAAGTCGGCAAGATCTTCAAGATTTATTGTGTACGCATCAAGTGCTGTTAATATAAAACTCTGTAAAATATATACATACATTTATGATAAAGAAATATATACAAAGAAAAATTATATCTCAGACTTTCGCGAGTATTCATTTAACTTAAAGTAATATTAACACATTATGCGTTTTATTAGTTTTTTTTAAACTACCTACTTCCGAAATTTCGATTACTTTGCATCAACCGTGATCTCGTCAGCCCATGATCATTTAAATTTACTCAAAGTTTTCAGAGAAAGTTATCATCATCATAAACGTCAGCCCATTAGAGCCCGCTGCTGAGCGAAGGCCTCTTCTCACATGGAGAAGGTTAGTACATTATTCACCGCGCTTGATCAAGACGGGTAGGTGATTTCAAATATAATTTGAAATTATAAGTTCAGGTTTTCTCTTTATGTTTTCCTTCACCGTCTGTCAGTGGTATCTAAATACTCTTAGAAAGTATATATTTCTCGGAAAAATCACATTGGTATTTGGCAGGTTTCGAACCCCGCGCCCTCATACACGAGAGGCGGACCTTTAACTTCTAAGCCACCACGCGTATATAAGAAAAAATATGTACCTGATACTGTGTTGAATTTTCAACCTCTATCATTTGTTGCATATATAACTTCACGTTATCAACATCACAGTCCAAGACATGATAACTCATATGCACCACTTTAAATATATATTTAAAAGTTTCTCTGTTATCCCCATTAGGGTCTAACCTCTTAAATAATATTTGATCATTTTTATATGGCCACGTATTTATAATTTCTTGAAGACGTATAAAACCTGAAATATATTATAAAACGAGCTCATTTATAAACAAAATAGGAGAATTATATCATATTAGTTATGTGAAATAAACTTATTATGTCAAACTCACTGCCTTCGTCTTCATAAAGTATAGTAAATTTGTCCCAATTCAGAGTTTTAATGAGAGTTGCATAAGCCTTTGATATTATTTCAGGTGAAGGGTGATAGAAAAACGAGTACATATCATTTTCCAGTGTAGCTGGTGGCTGCCATCCCAGGATTAAATGCGAAATCTTTAATAAAATGAATAAGAATATATGTGAAAACCAAGATTACATAGTAACAAGTAAGTTATACATAAATTTGAAACATAAATGCCACTCTTTATTCATTCGGAACTTAAATAATATTATACAATTATGCAGATACATTCATCAATTTATTTTTGATATTTTGTTTACTTATCGTATTGTCGACAATTAATATTGAGACTTATTTAAAACAAATAAAATCAATACAATATATTAAATACACTTTCAAATATAATATGACTTTTTATAACAGGTTTTGCCTGCGATTTCGTTTGGGTTAGTTTCAGAATTAGAATAGTATAGCTGATCGAGCGAACTCTGTTCCTCCTTAAAGGCAGGTAATAAGAGTATTTTCGATTTTATCAACTTTTTTTTCTTTTTCGATAGGATGAAAAGTATCTTAAGTCCTTTTCCTAGTTCTAAGCTATGTCTCCATAAATTTTCAGCCAAACCCGTCCTGCCGTTCTTGAGTTATACAAAGTAAAACTAACACTAGTTTCTTTTATATATAAAGATATATTTATTTATATAAGTATTGTACTAAGTTGACTTACATTAAGTTTATTGCATATCGAACAAGTGACATCACAAATTCCATTCGTAGGTCGAGCATCAACTAGTGCGACTATACCATTATCAGCAGAAGTGTTCGCGCACACTGAATAAAAACAACATATTATTATATATATTATATAGTATAAATGATGAATTTTACTTTAATTACTACGATGATTAAAAACATCAGTATAAGAATAATTTACTCACTCTCTAAAGCCGTAGAATAGCTATCAGTGACTTGTACTGAAATTAATTTCCCATGATAAGCATTAGTTGTACCGATCTTTAGTATATTTTCGAAAGCCAAAGCAGAATTCGGTAACGTCTTCGAATTAAATAGCCCTCCTGAATAACAGTTTCATAATTAGTATAATATTTTTAAAAACATTTCAATAATATTATTGGTTATACAAATAAACGTATTGTTTACGACCTACCGATTGGTAAACGTGTGCTAACTTCAGCATAGCCGGTTTGAGAATTTACTATAATCGCGACCAAGAGTAACATAAAGTAAATCATTTTAATCAAACTAATGAAAATATTTGTTATAAGCGGCAGGCGACTTCGCAGCCGCGTTCGGTGCGAGTGATGTATTTTTGGAAAATAATTTTAGGTCAGATCGACCAAAGACAAGCGGCTATGCGACGAAATCGTCATTATTGTTGGTTGAATCACACACGAAAGCCCAATAAGATTATATATAAAGATTCATATAACCAAAGTTTTAATCGAAATGTTTAAGAGTTGTGTATGATCAGAAGTTGTGACAAAAATGTTTGTAAAAATGTGGTGGTTATTGATTGTTTGTTTTGTTCAGCCGTCAATATCTGAGATCCGTTATACAGAAACGAGACAAAGTTTTTATCAAATAGGTAATCTTTTATCTTTTCTTTTAGAAATTATTATTTATCTTTTACTCTCAGAAACCATATAAATGAATACATTCCAAAGGACTATATTCCTTTTCGAATGTTATGAATAACTTCAAAGTTGATCATAATATAATTAAGGAAAACAATTTAAAAATTGAAATGGTCCTTATACTTATACGTATAAATACTATTTTCAGCTGGCATTTTTGAAAACAATTCGCTCACACAACGACTTGCTTTTAATGAGAGTATACGTTACGCCAATTTGGGAAAAGCTGAATTACAATCAATGTCTGATGCTCAAGGCGGCAAAGGTATGAAAAAACAATACGATAAGAATAAATATTTACATTCATTTCATAAAAAAATATTTGATATTTATACAATAGACAGATATATTATAGAAAACATATTTTGTTAAAATGGCTGAATAAAATATAACTTTAAATCAAAACGACAGTTTTATTAATTTCTTGATACAATCCAGAATATTCTTCGATCTAAGTTTCTTTTACAATTAATTCTCAATAGTCTGATTTATGAATATAATTCAGTGAAGGACCTAAGACTCGAACCTGTCATCTTTCGACCCGGACGAACAGACAGCTACTCAATATGGAAAGATTGTGAGTATATAGTTACCTTTTTAAAATCGCAATACTAACACGTCAAAGTTTAAACTATACATGAAACTATGAAATAGGAATGATTCGGTTCCTTTACAGCAACCATGATCACGGATAGACAAGATGAAATTCTTTCAATGAACTGAAACGTCAGGATTATGTACTTAAAAAATACTCAATGAAAAGCGGGTAGTTGAAAAACTTAACTTTCATTTAAACGAGTACTGTCAAACATGTTGAATATCAATCATATTTAAAATATTAATTTTATTTTTCAGTATGTTCAAACACAACCATGCAACCGATAGCTATATTCGGTCCTCAGAATTCCGTTACTGACAACATCATACGCGATCAATGTTACATATCAAACATCCCGCACATCCAAGCTAACTTGCAGTTAGCTGATCCTGATTTGGAGCTGAACCAAGTTGTAGCTACAGACGAGGAATCCACTGAAGATCAGGTGCTTAAGTTTAAAAAGATCTCCATAAACTTTTACCCGCCGGCAGAGGATATATTGTACGCTTACGCCATGTTACTAAAGTACTACAAATGGAAAAACTTCGCTGTTCTCTACGAAGATGACTTGGGTAAGAGTTTTTCAAACTTACTCAGGAAATGTTCTTTATCCTGGTGGAATACACAATTAGGATTAAATTAGTCTTTCTATATTTAGTATTGTACTGAAAACATGCTATTAAAGTTAATAATGTATAAATCTATATAACAAACTTGTCGTGTTCAAAATCAGGTCTGTTAAGAATACAGAAGATACTTTCTGAATACACAGAAGACTATCCCCTCACTATCAGAAGACTAGACCCGAACGCCGATAACCATAACGTAAGTTAAACTTTTAACAAGAACTATTCAATAAATTATTCATCTTTCTTTAATCAATTGAACTTGTCAACATCCGATTCTATGCTAAGAATCTCACAATCATTAAAACCTCATCTATTAAATGAATTAAATCATTATTATTTTGCTCTTTACCGACAAAACTCACTTTAAGTCAAATATAGATTTGGACTAACAAAATTTGAGACAGTACAAATTCAGCAGAATTGAAAGCGTCAATAAATTAGGTTTTACGTACAACTGTGCTTGAAATGTGAGAAATTGGTATATGAACTTTTTATATTTACCTGTTATACAGTCACAAAACTATATATGTATGTAATAGATTTGATTCATAAGCTTTAAATTTAATATACTCTTTTCTCTGTTCCATAAACCATTAAATAATATTCCCGAATAGATAAGTAAGGACGTAAAATAATTACAGCCTGACAAACTTTTACAATAATTCTAGAAATTGTTTTGCTTTCATCAAGCCTGATGGAATAGAAAGATAGTACTAAAATTCCCTTTACATTAACTGTATCTATGAAAGATTCTTGCTTAAAGACTATTAATAAGCTTGTTAATTGTTAAACATTGTTATGTTTATTCCTCTCCATTTTGCATACATCATTATCTCTTGTAACTGAGCTAACATCTAAGAGAGGTTTGTTAAGCAAACGAATGGTACACAGTTACAAACATCAAAGTAGTCGTACGTTGTGAGCTAACGTATGTAATTTCATAATTAGATGAAAATGACTAAGTATCTTACTTCACATGAAGCGTATTCGCAAAATAAATTTAGTAATTAGTATAATGTTGAATGTAGGTTTGAGACTACTCTGATACATACGCCGAAGTCGAGATAAGAACTTAAATATTTATATTTTTATCCTAACAATATATATACTAGTTTTTGTCCCGGACTTCGTCCGCGTTAATTGCGTAATTAGTGTTGTACGTATAGCTGACCGAGTGAACTTTTTTCCGATTTAGAGGTCGTAAATAACCAGATATTGGAATTTATTAATTTTTTATTTTTGGTCGAACAGAATTGTATATCCTATGTCCGTCTCCTGGTTCTAATCTATCTCTCCTTAAATTTTCAACCATATCCCTACATCCGTTGTTGAGTTCTAAATAGCATAACTAACACGACTTTCTTCTAAAGATATATATGAAACGAAGAGTCCCCATACACTTTTATATTAACCCTTATGTTGTCACGAACTAATAATAAACACTAACTAAATATTTAATAAAAAAAATCACTTCCAACGTTATATAAAATGCTTTTGTAATTTCTTTCACAGATATTTAAAGATCTCAAGAAATTTAACGAATATCGAGTTATAATGGATTGTGACGTTGACCGCGTTGTTCAATACCTTACAGAAGCCAGAGGAGTGAATATGGTCAATCATTACGAGGTGATTTACTTTAAAATATTGGTTTTTATATAACTATAAGAAACAATAACGAAAAGTAACCTGGGCTGTAAGAAAATAATTATCTGCTGTTAAATATAACACCAATACACATACATTTTAATTGGGAATTCAAATCATCATAAGTATTTGTCATAATTAGAAAGGTGACTGTAAAATTAATGTTAGAATTTAAAATTATAAGTCAAATTACCTAAGTTTTATTTATGATAATAGCCCAAAATAACATTTAGCTAGTCATCATTCTATTGAAGATTTTAACTACATTAAAAATAATTCATTTTCTTCATATATTTCTAGCATTACATTTTAATAACGATGGATGCGTCTGTGGTTGCGGAGGAACTGCGTCAATTCCAATCGAACATAACTTGGCTCAGTATAACTGAATATGACAAGTTGCAAAACTCTCAACATTTTCTGACGCCGAGGGTTGGAAGGTGGACGAGCGAAACTAGCGTCGTGTATCCACCTGTCACTGATATCAAAGTAATTTAATATAGCTTAAAACTATTATAATATAAATATGAACTAAAATATCACTTGAATGAAGCGTATGTTTAATTTTAGTTAAATAATATTATATAAAAAACATTTTAAAAGACCCAATATTATGTTTATTTCTTAGTATAGTTATTTATCAATAATAAATTGTGGTCTTTTTCTATAAAGACGTCAGCGCTACTAATGGATGACATAGCGAATCACGTATTAAAAGCGTTGCAAAAAGTTGAAATGGTGGAAACTATTGAAAACAGAACAATGAGTGATATATGCGGACCGGAAAGTGAACCATGGGAGTTCGGCGCTTTGCTTCAGGATGAAATATTGAAGGTAGCTTATCTCATTTACACTTGCTTACAGAAACTAAATTATTCATGACGTGAGAGGATGAATGCGAATAAATTTCTTTCACACGGATGTTGATCGATGTGAATAAATCTAAACAAACATTTATGGTAATTACTATTCGACCCAACGCTTCCATTTCACGAAATGTATTTTAAAAATATTTATCTATCTTTGTGTTGTATGATGATATAATCAAATGTATCCCATTTTGCAAGACAAAAACAACAGGCGTCACTGGGAATATAGAATTCAATGAATTCGGACAAAGAGTTAATTACACTCTTTATGTAAACGAAATTTATGTTTCAACGTTGGATACAATTGGTACTTGGGACTCGACAACGAGAGGTGAAATTATTGAAGATAGACCGGAATCTGAAAATTATGATAAAAAGAAAAATGTTAAACATTTCTACGTGAGTTGGGTTTTTTGTCACATACACTTCTTAATATACAGTAATTAGTCATATATAAATAAATTGATTTCGGAATTCATTCGTAGATAATATCGAAAAAAGCGAAACCGTACTTTTACGATAAAATAAAATGTGCGGAAGATGATCCAGATTGTGTTGAAGAAACAGCTGATGAAAATTACGAAGGATTTTCTGTGGACCTCGTCAAAGAAATCTTTGATACTTTGCGGAAACATAATTTTAATTTTACATATTCTTTCTTGCCAAAAACATACACTGATTATGGCAAATATAGACCAGAAGAAAAGAAATGGGATGGCTTGATAGGAGATCTCTTAGATAAGGTATGTTTTCATAACTACCAATCAACAACTGAAGTATACTTACACTTCTATTGGGCAAAAAGAACCCTTTTTAAATGATAGAATTATTAGGTCTAATTTTGGTAAATTTAACACTATTTACTTATTCTATTTACATCCACTAGAGTGCCGATTTAGCTGTATGTGACCTGACCATCACTGAGGAAAGAAAAAAAGTCGTCGATTTTTCAGTACCATTTATGTCTTTGGGTATAAGTATTCTGTATATTAAAGAAAAAGAAGTTGAACCAGCCATGTTCTCCTTTCTCAATCCATATACATTCGATGTTTGGATTCACACAGCAACGGCGTTTTGTGTTGTATCAATTATCCTTTTTGTGTGTTCGAGGTTGGTGTATATAAATTATTATTTGACAAATTGTATCTTATCATTTTAATCAATTATATGGTTATTACTTTTTATAGAATATCTCCAGCAGATTGGGAAAATCCACAGCCTTGTGATAAAGATCCAGAGGAATTGGAAAACATATGGAATTTCAAGAACTGTACTTGGCTTGCTATGGGGTCTATTATGTGTCAAGGATGCGATATCTTACCGAAGTATGTCATGGAATAGCTTATAACCTAATTTACATACCTTTACACTATTTAATTTGGAGATCTATTTAACAAAATGAGTTCCAAAATTTCCTTCATAATGTCATTTTCACAGATAAAAGGGAATTCTTATAGTGACAAAAATAAAATCAATGGAAAAGTTATGAGATTACAATTAAACGAATCTTTTGTTTTCAGAGCAATCGGCACACGTTGGGTTTGTTCTATGTGGTGGTTTTTCGCAGTTATCGTGTGTCAGACATACATTGCCCAACTTTCAGCTTCAATGACCGAAGCTTTGGAATATGAACCCATTACCAAGGTAGAAGATTTGTCGACACAAACCAAAGTCCTGTATGGTGCGATCGATGGTGGATCAACTCTTGGTTTTTTTAAGGTAAACCATAACACAAAACCTTTTTTAATGCAAAAAATATATACAGCGTCAATGCTGCATTGTATGCAATGGAGTGATGAAATCTTAGGCTATTAAACTTTGAATATATCAGTAAAAAGTCTTGGAAATACTTTGATCCTACATATTTCTGCATTTAGCTTACTGATATTTCGCTTTTAAATTAATTGATTATAAAGTTAATACATAAAATTGTATTTAATTTATTTTATGTTTTTTATTCTTAAATAAAAAGTACAGCATATCTTTAAAGATTCTGTTTATGACAGTTATTCAGATCCATAAAATATTCTCACGCTTGCATTTTCAACGTAAGTTTGACACAATTTCACTCATGTATAGTTCATTTATTTCAGAATTCCAAGGATAAAATGTTCAATAAAATGTATGAAAATATGATACAAAATAAAGCGGTTTTAGTTAAAACTAATAAAGAAGGTGTTAAGAGGGTTATAAAAGGGAACGGAAAATACGCCTTTTTCATGGAATCCACGTCCATAGAATATGAGCTTAAAAGGAATTGTGAGCTTAAAAAAGTTGGTGAAGAATTGGATTCTAAAGACTACGGCATTGCTATGCCCGCTAGTAAGTATTACTGAGAACTGTTTATTTAGATGAATCAAAACGTTTTTATTCTACAATAATTTAATTAATTATGTATAAAGGGAATTATAAAATAAGCTTACAGTTTTCTTATTATATTATAGTTCTTATTATTCTTACTTATTTCAGACTCTCCGTTCAGGAAGTATATAAATCGAGCTATTTTAGAACTGAAAGAATTTATGGTGCTAGATAAAATCAAACGAAAGTGGTGGGAGGAGAAGAATGTGAGCCAACCGTGTGAGGTAAATAATTCAAAGTAAATAAGTACATTAAAGACAAATAAAACAATAGTATATTGTATAAAATTGTAGCTCAATGTTTTTTAAATATAATTAATTAACATTATATACCTTAATGAGATCTAATACTAGAAGTATGCAATAAATGAAACTAATACTGTCAGATTACCATGCATTATTTTATTATTTTTAAAACTACATACTCCCGATGCGACGTTCCGGTTACTTTGCAGTAACCGTGATTACGGGCAGACGAGATGTGAATGTCTGTCAGTTGGTCTTGTTATTTATCACCTACCGCGGAAGATTTCTTAATTTTCTAGCGAACCATTCTGGGTGCTTGTTGAATGTTCTTATATACATATCTTTCTAACAACAGGTCGAAGAAGACAAAAACGATGTGGAGGGAGATCTTGAAATGAAAAATTTAAAAGGAGCGTTTGTTGTTCTCATAGTTGGGCTTGCTATCTCCATTATAATTACTGCATTTGAATTCATGAACGAAGTCAGAAATATTGTTGTGAGAGAACAGGTAATTACAATTAATAGGTCATTAATACTAGTCTTAAATCTGTATCAAAAATATTGTTCTTAACAAGACCCTTCTTCTAATATCACGAAGAGTTTTAAGAGAAAGAAACAACAAATTTTTTAAAATTATTTTGGCTCTTCCATTTAAAAAAATCAATTTCAGGTGTCACACAAAGAAGTATTTATTAAAGAACTGAAGTCTTCGCTGAATTTCTTTCAACTTCAGAAACCGGTTATAAGAAATCCAAGTCGTGCCCCATCTGTAGCATCTTCTGACAGCGAGAAGAAGAACAATAGAAACAACGCCATTGAAAACTTGTTAGAATTTGAAAAAGTGCAACAATAATTAATCTATGCAGATGAAATATTGTTTTATCTTAAATACTTTTGATCGGCGTTTTAATGTTAACCCTTTTATAGGCTTTATTCTAATTTTATTGGAAAATATTGTTTAACTGTATTAACAATTTTTAACATTTAATAGTAGTTTAAGTACACATTTGTTACTTATCACGTAGTGATAAAAGTTTTATTATAGTAAAAATCATTTCAATTTTAAATTAATTATATTTAGTATTTTCTATACATGATTTTTAATAAATAATTTTGAACCGTAATTTTTTTCTTTAAAAACCCTGAAAACAATTCTTAATGTTTGAGATTTTAAAAAAGAAGATTTCCTGAAAAACAAAGTTTCAAAACTCTTGAACATTTTGAGCTATTTATTAATTTCTTTTAGATTTATAGAATTATAGGCATCAACAATCAGACCTCTGAAATATGTTATCAGTTCACACCCTCTCACTTTTGAGTCTCTTATTTCCTAATAAATTCCTTTACCAGAATTTCAGACTAATAAAAGGCTAAGTGTGAGCTAAATTCAAATTTTACAATGATTAATTCATAAATAAAAAGCTACATGATTTATATTTTAGGGTTAAAAGGAATTTTTCAAACAATTTATTCTAGATTCATACCTTGTGGGATATTATCCTGAAATATTGTTCTAAAAATATAAAAGGATTTTTGGAAATTAAACTTGTTTTTATAGGTATTCGCAAATAGCTAATTAAAAATCTAACATATTATGAGCTGAATGAAGATGAAAAGCAAAATACCGTACATAAGATCTTAATTGAATTCAAAATCGTAAATCCTATTTGCGAGTGATTTCAAATACATACATCAAATGTTTGTAATGAAATAATAAACGACATTGCCATTTTTTTTTAATCTTATTTGACCTTAGAATTCTGAAGGTCCACAATATCATCAAATGTTAAATTGTTTACAAAGTTTAATACGTCAGACATCAATTAACAAAGATAAAGAAATGATATAAGTATATGCAATTATTGATTAGTGCATGTATGATAAAAAGTAATTATTAAAAAATAATATAATCCAATAGAGGACAATTATTTTACTATACGACATTTTATTTCACAATTTTTTTTGCGACGTAGAGCATGAACCAGAATAGCAGGAGATGTTTGAAATAAAAAATAATTTTATTCTACAAAAATCAAATTTTATAATCCTTTAGTGTCTAATGGTAATTTCAAAGTGATAAAAAACTTAGCATCAATAACAAAAATATATATTAAAGATATTTACAAAAAGATAAAAAGGAAAGCAATAATATTTTGTTAATAATTAATTTGCAATCAATTATACAGGAACTGATTGTGATTAAATTTGATGTAGACATGCGTTATGAACATAGCTTCAAATAACAGAAATTCAGTTGCAATATATATGGAATTGTTCTTCTTTCTATACATAGTTCAAAATTCCATTTGAGGACTGTCTGTAGACGTACCACTCTCAATAAGCGAAAATAAATCAATACACTCATCATATTTTAGACTTTCCAAATGAAATACAGATAGTTCCCAGTTTTATTATCAATGACATTGATATGCTATTATAATATATTTAACTTCAACTATTGTAGTGATTTTAGGGTTTTATTACTGCGAAATTCTCGTAATATTTAAAAGGTGGACGTCTTAACAAAATTTTATGCCATTTGATTAGATAAGAATCAACAAAACAGGTGTGATTTTTAAAAAGTAATTACAAGTCATTCTTATATTTGATATTCTTACGTATGTTGTCCCTACTTATGTATATATCGGATTTAGGTATTACAAATTCATTGTTTTTAAAGAGAGAGACGCCAGCCTCGCTGACGTCACTAATGTCACTTCTTCTAGTACGTTCCATGATATTTTATAATGAAACTTCAGTTGTTCTAAATGTTCTTCTATATCTCGAAGGTTCTTCATAATCACAATCTTCAAAGGCCTAAACTCACTGAACACTGCTACCGTCCGTCCAGACGTCATTTTTATACTCAAATTCAAACATAGTTCTATTCTCTTTCAAATAGTGGTACGAGAGCTAGCTACGCCAAAAAAACAAGAATTTCAGGTAGGCTAGTTTTTAGATATGCTATCTCCCACACTCCCCTGGACGTCATACGGGCTATCTGGCTGCCGGTAGTGGTTGCGTTCATCAGTGCGCATCGTACTTGTGCAGGTAAGCAAATTATTATTTCAAATCATTTTAAGAAGGTTTTTTTTATTATTATTATTTTTATTGAACTATTCACAACATAAATTTATTATTGCCAGATATTTTTATTGTTGTTTAAACGGTGCCAAACGGCAATGTTGAATTAAAAATATTATTTTTTTCAAAATATTTTAGTATAGCTAAAATTTTAATAGCATGTTATTTAACTATCTTAAAGCTCAGAATTAATTTGCAAGACAAAAAATCGGTTGTTAAACTTTTGCCAGATCGAAATAAAGTGTAAAGAGATGTAGTATCATTTAGCTTGGTCTAGAAAATTAATCGTCTAATAAATGATGGAAGAAGGATTAAAAACTATTGAATTTATTTATAGATGAATATGGTATAAAAATAATACTTTATTGTTGTACAAAATTGAAATAATTTATATATAATTTATATAAGATAATAATTTTGTACAACAATACTGTTAAACGCTGTTAAAACCCATAAGACTTATGTTTACAGTCAAAACGAATATGTTAAAAATATAAGTCATCAAAATGAAATATTTGTGTGATTAATACTCAAAGCTTCATATATTCCGATTTAGAAACTTTTTGTAAGGTGTTCAAATTTGAGTTTAATCAATTACTTCTTTATTCATTTGTTTATCTTTCAAAATAATCGTTATTTGTGGTCTACTGTAGCGTCACATAATGAATAACTAAGACGTGATCAATGCGTTATATTTATTAAGATTTAATTGAATTATGTTTGTATCATGATATCAGTCAATAAACAGCGTCCGGGAGTTGCACGTGCTAGTACGGCAGCGGGTCGCGTGCGCCGACAGTCGGATATTGTATGGGAACCATCGGAAGTTACTCACTACTGAACAATTCGATAACAATCTCAACGATATTTTCGCATCCATTGACTCCTTAATACGAGGCATGTTGTTACACATGAATGTGATGCAGCAATGTATTGCGTGTTATGTGGAATTTGCGTCAGTGATTGCGTATCCTGCGCAAGCGCAATGATCGTACAGTGAAATGCCAAATCCGAGTCAGTGGCGTTTAAGCCACGTACGAGGATGGCCGCGTCGTGGTATTCAATCGCGTTTCTGGCTGTCACAGCCCTTGGAGCATCCATTGGACGTAAGTTTTGTTTACAAAATATTAATTCATATAGATTCTTTTATTATGTTTTAAATATATCTATTATAAAATTCTGCTTTGAATCGATAAATAGGAATTATTAACTTTTATATTCTTTTAATATTAATTCACGTATTTCTTCGCAATTAAATAATAATATTAATTGAAATCTTCCATAACAATGTGATTGCTCCGATAGTTATTTTTTATGGCTTTTCAATTTAAACAAAAGAAACATAAATATATCATTTATGATTAATTTATACTCTTTATAAATTGTAATTGAGGAAATTGTTTTGTATAAAAATGAAAAAACAAAAAATATTATTAATATTATTATTAAATAACTTTAATGAATGTTTACAATGTTTAGTATTCAAACTGAAAAAGTTTCAATATTTCATTTTCAAATTGAAGAAGAGTTTTCTACGGAATTACATGTTCAATTCTTCTTTTAACCAAATGGACATTTTAACGGCACAGAGTCAGTTTACCGCAAATGAGTTTCAGACAAAAGACTTTTTGTAAATTATTTATCTCAAAAATCCACAGGGATAAAGTTCAAAAACAAGTTGCTAAGAAAGAAGTGTTAAAAAGTCGATACTCTTAAGAAGTTAGTCTCGGGGATTTTCCTGACTAAAATCCAGATTTTTTTAAACTAGAACAAAGTAAAATGAAACTATAAGAATACGTAATCTGATTTTTGCTAATTTTATTTACTTATTAGAATCAATAACAATGAGATTGTCAATTAATTATCAGTAACTATTTATCAAAAAAAAAAACATATTAAGATATAAATAAGATAATATATTGCTATCATCATCAGAATCTTTAAAGATAAATGATAAAGATAATTTCAAATCTTTCCGGTGAAGTCAAATATTTCCACAGTTTGTTTTAATACATATTTATCTTTTAATGATTTCAATTAAAATGATAATTTAAATCATTCACCAATAAAGCGATATTTATATTTACTTATAAATTTATTTTCAAAGTCAAACTTAACAAATAGTATTTACTACCGACTACTTAACTACCCTCAAACAATATGACGATACTACAAAAGAGTAAATATATATTTGTCCAAATATTTGAATACTTACAGTATGTCAATTAATTAATTCATTCATATAACGAATATACTCCTGTATACATAAACGTTATAGAGTAACAATATTATACAATACTATATTAAAACAACTAACATAATACAATTTATGCAACACAATCATTACATTTTAATGCATATGCATTACACACACGCATATGCATATACAGTAATACACACGTAACTTTTAAATATATATTTAACACTTATGTTAGAATTACTATTGTAATCAGAGATTACTTTCACTAAAAGTAGTGTAAATGTACCATTACTTTGCAAAGTCAAAGAAAAATCCTTATTCGTAAGTATTCAGACGGAATACGTAGTAAAAAACGTAGTAATACGAGTGAAAAACGTCAAACTATCCGTCTTTAGTCTGCGAAGTAAACTCAACGTCAATATAGTAATGTCTCACAATGTAGTTACAATCGAATTGCTTTCCTACTGTTGCGCAACTTCGCAAAACGCACGCGCATTGAATGTTGACAAAGTTATGTCATTCAAGTTATATAATTACTCCAAAGACTGAAACTGGGACATAATCTAACCTCTTTAGTGATGACATAAAATAAGACTATTTGAATCAATACAATCTTCTTCTTCTACCTAGCAATTTCCCAGCTTTAGCCAGGGTCTGCCTTACATCTTATGAATAGTTTTGGCTAATTGTTTTACGGATAGCTGCCTGCCTGACATCAACCCTCTTTGGGAATGCTTTAATCAGTGATGTCTAAATATTCTTAGAAAGTAGACATGACTCGGAAAAATCACATTGGTACTTGCCAGGGCCAGGATCGAACCCGCGCCCTCATGCTTGAGAGGCGGTCGTTTTAACCACTAGGCCACCACTGACTATACTATTTTAACCACTAGGCCACAATATAAACTATTATGTAGTATATAAGGTATACATTTGCTTGATTGATTGTGTTTGTTCATATCATCTTATCATAAACATCGCATCATGTTTCATCATTACAGTTTCATATTTTCCCCATCGAGCCTCTCCATTGGATCCAGACACACGAAATAGCAGAATCTTGCGCCATTTAAACCGTGTATGTACGTAGCTACGGCTATAGAATATAACGGTGGAGGGAAAATTGTTATCTTAAGATATAGAGATCTTCAAACGATATCTTAATACATCAATTGAAATTTCTACGTGCATATCACTTTCTGTAATTTACCTGCACTAACTCATGCTCCTTTTATGTTTTTCTTTTCATTTTCATTTCATTATTTACAGGTTTCACTGTAATTTAACGTAAGATATTATTTGTGGCTTAAATAAATTGTTTTGTGTCCAATATCTATTTCCTTACCACAAGTTTGAATGCTTAAACTAAAGACAGAGCGATTCGATGATTGTACGCAAAACTACAAGAAGCAGTGCATTTATTTTCACTATAAAATAGTGGTGGAGTTATTAGTAAAAAATAGTGTTAATTTCAGATTTAATCATAGAAAACTGCTTTATAAATTCTCATGCTTAGGTCTAACTGAATGCACATCGTAGTTTGTTTAAGCAAACATTAATTATATTTACAATTACTACAGTCACATATAACATAGTTGTATTATATATATTACAAATTGCAAATCAACATCACTATATAAATTGCTTTCATTCAGCAAAAATGTAATTCAAATTGCATTAACGTCTATCACATATAGATATTTAGTATTAAAACTGTATAATGTTATTTTCAGCGAAGAAGCAATTTCAATCGAGTGTTTTAGATCGATCTGGTTGTGGTAAAGTATGGGTTACGGTCCATTCTCCCAACATCCGAAGGCAAGGAGGAGATCTGCTTGACGCTGTCGAACTTAACTGGGATTTCGCCACTTGCTCAAACAGACCGACACAGGTGATTCATTATAGAAACTATTTCCTCATAACTTTTCCTTATCAATTTCAATACATTCATTGCTTTGTTATAAGACTAACACGTAAGAATACATTGCAATCTGAATGTACTATTATCCTGGTATTGAAGTAATTTTTCAAAAAAAGATCGTGATAACCTAAGCGTAACTAGAAAAAAACACTGAAAATACTTTAGAAATTATTTCTATTACTTCCTGAATCGGTTTAAAAAACATTTATTTGTAATCTCAGTTAGTAACAATAACATTATGATATAATTTAATATCATTGTTAAATTTGATACAAAACTTATATGACAGTAATATTTTTCAAAATAAACACACGCAAAAATAACCCGAGTAGTATATCTGAAAAATATTAGTTTCATTTAAATGAATAAAACTGGCGAAAATATTAGATCTCATTATTGATATAAAGCTATTATCTGTGATGATTTAAACGTTAAGAGACAAAACAATGGAAATACATAAGCATATAATTTAAAAACCAATTGCTTCAAATAAAATATGTGTTTTATGTGTTAAAAATCTTCACTCACGAAAAAGACTCTAAAAGTATACATACATCTTACTTATACCTAAGTATTCTCTCTAGTTGATTAAAACACAAGATGAAACCATAAGACATATCTAGTATATACAACTTTTCCTTATTATTAAATTAATTTCTTTCGTTTTAATAGACTATAATTAATATCGTACACTCATTGAACACGCATTACGTAACTACTGTGTAGGAATTCTTTGTTAACCCGCAATGTATATGATCTATTACTTCGCTTTATACTTCCGAATTACTTTCCAAATATAATAAATATATTAAAAGTATTGTTAATTTTTAAAACAAATTTATTGGAACAAAAAATCAAACATTGTCAAAGTTGTTTATTATGTTACATATTTATTTACCATTTACTTTTCATTCACCAATTTTCCTCATACATTATGAGGAAAAATAAAAAGAAAAATCTTTTACCGCAGTATCGTTCTTAAAACATTTCTCAGCTTGAATATTATGATCATTTCGCTTATGGCATAACAATAATTGAATAACACAAAAAATAATGATGCCAATATTTGTTTACAGATCGGTCTCTTCAATCATAAGCCATCGATGTGGGCCAACGCAATCGCCATATATCAAGTGGATTCACCAGAGGGTCATGTAATAACAAACATATCTCTCGGTGATCCGTATCTACCCGGGGGCTGGGACAAAGGCGTCGGGGCGAGGGGACCCAATTGTCTCTGGCCATGGGCAGGCGCGGGAGATAAACACATACAAACATCCAACTGTTTGAAGATTCAACCAACTTGGATGGAAGATAATGCGTACGTAGCCCTCAATGAAACTATACTTTTCTTTTTATATATGTGTAAAGAATTCTCCACATGCAAAACACACAATAGTTTAAAAATAAAGGCCTTACTTTAAAAGTAAATTTAAAACAAATTCACTTTAAACTTACGTGAGAATGACGAAGATTTAAATAAGATAAATCTCACTGTCAATTCATACATCCATTATCTTATTCAGTACCAATCACTGTACATGACTAAGACCTTTTTTCAAGACAAAGACAAAATTCAATCATGAGATCGGTCGAAGTGTCTCGTTACTTTCCTACCTACGTATTTCCTTACATGTTCGTTGATTCAGATCGTTAATATTGGAATCCGGAACGATTGAATAATATAGCATCAAGTTACAAGAATTAATTCTCATTGCTACGTAATTAAATTCGTTAAAAAAAATATTCTAAAATATAAATAAAATGATCATAATTCCCAATTTTGTAGCAAAATTTCGTATGCGATTTAAAGGGTCTCAAAATATCTAACATTGTACAGATTTCTTTCAAAGTTAAAATAGGTTTTACGATTCAAAGAAATAACGCTGTTCGAATTTGACATTGCTTCGGTAAAACATACATGAGATCATACTGTTATGTATGTATATGTATATACGATGACATATAATATTTTAGTTGAGAAAATTAACTGTAATAATATTAATAATATAGCATTAAGTTACAATAATTAATTCTTATTGCTACAAAAATTAATTATTATTTATATGTAATAAATACCAAATTCAGTATTCGGCTGAAATTATTTTTGACTCAAATTTTTAACGAAATAAGTCCCATTTCATACAGAATTTTAAACAAATTGTTGAGAAAAATAATAAGTTTTGGTTTTTAAGAGTTTTTCATATATGTATTATTAAATTGTCAGATTTTATTATTAATTATTTCTAATAAATTAAAATTAGAATAAAAAGTACAGATCATTCAATTATGAGCTCCACATCGCTTTAGTTTTAAAAATATAATTATAAAAAATTTAAACAAATAATATTTATTCAGAGAACCGCTTGCATCAGGTCAAAACCTTTAGAAAAATTATATATAAAATCTTAGTATAAATAGATTAAAATAAATATTTTCAAATTTACTATGTCTTTTATTTAGGCGATGAAAATATCATCTCGGCCACCCGTCATCACGGTTGCTGCAAATTAACCGAAACGTCGTTAACATGTTGTTAAGAATAATAAAAACACCGCTTAGTAATCTGAAAATATTAGTATTATTTAAATGAATACTCGCGAAAGTTAGATCTTATTATAAAAACTAGTTATATGTATGTATATTGAACGATCTACAGTAATGGAGAAGTATATTAACATCATTCTGATCGACGCAATTCTCCAGATAGTATTTTATCTGCATATTTTCTGAACATCCGTACGGTAATGTGTTTTCTCATATATCAATTTCTTGTGATAAAAATATTATATAAATGTTTATTATTAGTGATATATTATTTACCTGGAAATTATTAACACATGCTCACTTAATGATATGCAAAGACTTTTAACTGCAAGAGATATAAGATTTATATCTCTTGCAGTTAAAAGTAAAATTAGGAAGAAATGATTAGTCAAAAATCTTCGCAACCTTTGACTTATGCAAAACCTGCTTATAAAATACTAGCTTTCCGCCCGCAGCCCGAGTTCGTTTATATCGCGTTTCCAAGAGAACCTTTCAAAAATCTGGGAAAAAAAACTATCCTGTTCTTTCTCAAGGTCAACTCTATCTCTGTACCAAATTTCGTTAAAACCAGTTTAGTGGTTTAGGCGTGAAAGCGTAACAGACAGACAGACAAAGTTACTTTCGCATTTATAATTAGGGATAAGACTTTTAAAGGTATATTGTTTTAATTTCAGTGAGAGTATTAACAAATTGCGTATAGGAGAGCTTGCAATCCCGGGATCCCACAACGCTGGTGCTTGGAAATTCGACACAGAAATCAGCACAGTGTCCCGGGATAACTTCGTTCTGTGTCAGGATAGATCTATATGGCAGCAGCTGGTCCACGGGATAAGATACTTCGACTTTAGGATAGCGTATTATGACTTCTACCCGCGAATGGAAGACAGGTGAGTTCATCTTATTATTGACTAGCTTCTATATGACCCTCGCGTTCATTTAAATATAATATAAATGACTACAATGAACATTAAGTAGAATATTACTTAGATATTTCTACTTTTAAATGGTTTATGAGTTATGACATCATTATCAGAGTAGGTACACATGACGCGTTTCCCTTTTTGTTATTCCATACACGTCAATACTATAATCAGTCAAAGTGTAGTAATTAAAACTATTAACGTTCTCTACTTAGTGTGAGAATGCAAACTTGGAGAAAGCACATTGGTTCGAATTTTATTTTCTTTTTCCAAAACGATTTCAGTGATGGTATCAATTGATTATTGAATATGTCATTGGTTAAATTAAAAACTGTTAGGTTTAGATCTTCGTTTTGCCAAAGAAACACACATTTTTTTTAAATTTGTAATGTTAATTACGTCTATAATATTTCTATCATAAACATAATGTAACCCAAGTATTATATATGAAAAATAAGACATTTTTTTTAAATCTAAACAAATCATGTTTTCTCTTACATTTTCTTACATGTTCCACTTTTAATACAAATCAAGATGAACTATGGTACAGAGATTCCTCCACAGTGACCTTTCAACTCAGATATTGCTTAAAACCCTAGTCATACGAAATACGACAATATAAAAAAAATTGTTCCTTAGACGAAAGTAATATTTACACTGATTTTATATGAGACTTCTATAAAGTTTCACAAGAAATACCATTCTAATTATCTATTGGAAAATAGTTCATAAATAAATAAATTAAATATTTTATATTAAAAACTTAGAGTAACAAAAAATTTATATTCATTTTAAAGGATCATAAAAAGGTACATATTTTAAATTTTTAATAAGTTAGAAAGCTAATTAAACATCATTTTATTAGCTTTAAAAATCCTTATACAAATTTTATATTCCATTACATTCTTGTGGATTATATTCTTATACGAATAACTTTTAATTTTATGAACATAATGTGTTATAAAATATATGATATATAGTTCCGACACACAAAAATGCTACATAATATTTTTGGGTAAAGATCTTGATATATACTGTATATGTGTACCCATATGTTTATCCAATTTAATGCAGTAATCTATATACATATGTACAGTATACTGGAAATGAAAAACAAGCAACTACCTAATATATTAGTCGTAACGAATTATCATGAAAATACTTATAGGTTATATATACTCCTAAAAAGACTATATAGATTACATATATACAGCAGTCTAAATCTTTAAACATTGTTCCAATTCAGTCCAGCTCATTCGTGACTGCTCCACTATGTTACGTAACCGACCAATTTCCGCTTCGCTTCCTATTAGCCAATTCCTAATTACTGTCGGAACAGACAATGAAATATTTTAGAACAACTGTTAACTATCAAATAATATTAACAATATTCCTAACATTAATGACATTATACTTTCACTTCCGTACTTACGTTTATATTCATAACGTGCTCCTTTTTGGTCTTCCATAACTAATAAATCATATTTTTATTTCATTTTATTGTTTAACTGTAATTTATGAATCTGTCGCTAATATTTTGTCCAAATCCGTTCTGCCATGTTAAATTAAACTATTTTAAACATTAATAATAATCGTACTTAATTCTACCGATTAATCGTACTTAATTTTACCGATTTTTTAGATACTGGCTGAATCACAACTTAATACGTGTTCGGCCCTTAGTGCCGCTATTGAAAGAAATAAGAAAATTTCTTGACAGTACCAAAGAGGTTTGTTTTGTAATTTTTATCTAGTTAACTTTAAGATGCAAATTGCTATACAAATGTTATTGCGACGAATGCTTATTCCAAATATTTCATAACGTGTTACTGTAAGTGAAAGTAATGTTTAGTGGTAATAATTTAAAGTAATAAGCCTTATTAGCTATTTAACGAAAATATGAATATATAATGACAATTTAATCAAATCAGATTTCCTAATAAAAGCTACATTTTTTGCATATATCACAAAAAATGTGTTTTTGCTTAAAATAACATATTCCTTTCAGGTAATTTTTCTCGACGCACACCATTTTCCTGTGGGTTTTTACCACCAGAACGGAGCGCCTATTTGGGAAGTGCACAATGGTTTGATACAAATCATACAAAGAGAGCTGGGACCTCATCTAGCGTCAGCTTCGCAGTTCGGAACCAATCCTGGCACCAGGGGTCCGATACTTCAAACACTCATCAACGCTGACAAACGACTTGTCTTTAGTTATGTAGACAACACCATAGTACTTGGTAAGTATTCACGATATGAATAAAACAAATATATTATTGAAATTGAAAAAAATATATATATTATTTTATCATTGCTTAATATGTATAGGAAAAGACGTGCAATTTAATTACATATTCTTCTGTTATATATTTTTCTAATACAGGCATAATTCAATATTTTTATGACGTTGCTTTAAAGAAACAAAAATTGTTAAAAAAAATGTAGTTGATACTTTGTTTTATACTGAAATGTGTACAACAGACTTAGTAGTTGTTACATTAACCACATCAAGGCAGCGTCTAAGTCATTCAGTCAATGTCTGTTTTTCGTTAAGAATGCTCTTAGTTGTAAATCGCAGGCAGTCTGCTCTTTATTCGACTTAAACCCACTCTACTTTACATTCGCTAAATAACTTGTTACTTAATTATCCAAAAAACAATTTTTTATTTACTATGGATATTTTATATAATATTTTTTATTACATTTTTTTCAGGTAACAGATGGTTATGGCCCATTTTACCTCACCTTTGGGCTAATACGAACAAACCGGTAGAGCTCTTCAATTTCTTAGATCGCAGCATCAATAATCATCCACTACCTTCAGCTCGCTCCCCACTTTTCTCTGCCATGGCTCAAACAACACCCACTGTGTTCGACATTCTCTTTCTGCGTGGATCTTTGAGGGGAAATGCCGATATTGTAAATAGGATTGTAACAAAACGACTAACAACTCTCTGGCGACATAACGCCAATATTGTTTCCTCGGATTTCTTTTTAGGCAACGATGTCATCGATGTATCAATAGCTCTCAGCGTGGAGCGATCGAATAGATTATGACGAAGAAATCACTTAAGAAGTGGGGGCATTGTAGTCAACAAATATCGTCCCAGATTTGAAAATAGTGGACGTCGCCAAAGATTTACGCTAGCTATACATAATAGAGAACGCACTATGTGGCTTCCTTGATTGTATCTATACTATTTTCTTACTGTTTGTACATTATTCAGTAAATAATGAAATATAACTGCCCAACATTGTGATGTAAAATAGCGGAAAAAAGTGATATATTTTAAGTATTCAATTTAGTCGTTAAGTTTGTACTAGTCCATCATTACGTGTTAAGAAGCCATTGATTCATTACTATTTTGTATTTATAAATTTTGTAACCCAAATATATTTCTATTTATTATAAATGTGTTTTAATTATAGGTTACTAGTTTTTGACCGCGACTTCGTCCGCGTTAGTTTCGTCATTAGTAATATATGTATAGCTGACCAGGCGAACTCTATTCCGTCTTAGAGGCCATAAATAATCAGGTTTTTCCTGTTTCAATCAAACAGAATGATTGACATATTGTTAGTTGTCAAATCTAATGTCAAAAAAAGCGTTTGTATGGGAAATAGAAAAGGGCTGTTTTTAGGGTTTTCCCGGCAATTATTCCAATTTTTCTCACCTTTTAGACCTTCCCTGAACCTCAACGAACATTTCAAGACTAAGATAAGAAAAATCCGTTGAGCTGTTCTCGAGTTTTAGCGAGACTAAGAAACAGCAATCCATTTTTATATATATAGAAGATAAGAAATGAAAGTTTTCGAGTTACTTATAATTAATGTAATCATCTGTTACAATAAATAATATCTAATTATAAAAATTGTACTTGCAACAAAACGAGGTAGATTAACCGTGCAAAGCACGAAACAGTCAAGGTAAAGTATCACGTGTGGGGCGCCAAGAGTGGCAGTAGCTCGGCTCGACTCATACGAGACAAGGCTCGAGCATCGAGACCCATTGCGGCTGCGGCTCCACGGACGTCTAGACCGAAACTTTGAAGTAAAGCTGCTAGAGCGACTTCCTCACCAGTTCGAGGATCTCGCAGTCTAGGACACGAACTGTTACACTGTGGCCAAGAACAACGCTCAATCAATCTCCTAGGTGCACATCTAGGGCGTTCCTTCCTATTGCCATCTCTGAACCGGCGTTCCCAACAGGCAATCGCGTTTGGCAATGATATGCCCGACACGTTTATTGCCAGCCACTCCGGCCGTGCGAGGGCCCCGTGGGCTATACATGCAGGTGCGAAGGTAGCGCGTACGGTCTTCAAGCTAGCACGAATAGCCGCGCCCGTCTCATGAACAGCGTCCCATTGCGCCCTCGTCCGTGGCGCACGTACTCCTTCTGCTGTGAGCTGCGCAGAGTCAAAGAGATATTGGAAAACAAATAGGGGCGTGCGTATGTGAGGGTAAAGCCGATACCCAAAATAGCATAACCAGGGCTTGTCGTGGAAATCTCTAACACAGGAATTGGGTGGTGCCCCTAACCATAATGAATGGCCTAAACGAGCTACAGCATTAGCTGATGATGCACGTCTCGCTCTTGGTGGACGATCTAAGAACCATCCGGAATCTGCAATAGCCGCAACCCGCACACTATGAGCTCTGAGAGTTCTTCTTGTTGAGTCAGCGTGAAGCATGACACCTGTACCTCCAGCACTAGATCCTACAAGCAGCAAACGGCCCGCGAGTCCGAGGTGCAATAGTTCATTGAGGACCGATCGGACTATAAGGTGTCCAACAAACGCGAAACTGCCGTTAGTTCTTGTATGGAGACGAGTTCCTGCCCACATATCGCTTGAGCAATACGGTAATAATACATGATTGGAGGAATGCCAGAGAGGATTAGCTTGAGGGTCGGAAGACAGCAAGGCTGGAGCTCTTCGCACTCGAGGCCAACGTGTGGAAGACATGAGACCAGGGCGTCTCCTCCACCGCGCGCCACATGAGGCCGTGTCCCAACAATAGCCACCACCTTCCAAATACAACACCCAGTGACGACTGTTGCTGCCCCGACGGATGTAATATCTAAAAACAAATGATTTAATTTAAATCTATTTTGTAGTTTGATAATGGAACCATTAAATTTAGATCACTCGCTAATCGTTTATAAAATTTTAACAACAATACATTGCGAATTAATGATTGAAGTCAAAAATATTTGACACAAATGTGATGCACACTACGTGTATCGTATATATTTCTAGTAAACTTTTTGATTTCTTTTACAAAGTTAATATTAATTACCTATTATTTACAAGTCCTACAACAAAATTGGGCAAAATAAAACTAATTTCTATTTAAACTACAAAAGAAATTACTGGTGTATATAAATTGCTCTCGCACCTACATAATATATTTGTTAATTATCCAAATCAATTTAATAGATATATGTAAATAAATTTATCAAATAGAATTCGACAAGTAAATATATGTACAATAGGTATAATCATTTTCTATCAATCATCACGAGCAAGATCAATATAAAGCACAAGTTTTTACCCTGCGGGTGATCCATCGTTACAGGTCAATGAAGTGTTTCTGAGCCACACCAGTCGCAGGCTGTCTGATTCGACCAGACATTCGCAGACTGATATAACCACCGCCTGAAAAAATATAAATAAAAATTAATACAATACATTCACAGTTCATTTATCGTAACACAAAAAGAATAACGGAACTATCATATAGCGTTACTTTAAACACGATTATAGTTACATGTACATATATATATATAACTTGTAAAGTCTCAGTAACCGTTACAATTCAATATACTTGAGAGATTAATTAATGCGCTATTTCAAGAACATTACTATCACATCTAGTTGTTAACATAAAGTACTTTGAAATAGTAAACAACCTTCTAAAGATCTATATTACACAAATGAATATTATAGAATACTAGCTTTCCGCCCGCAGCTTCGCCGCGTGGAGTTCGGTTATATCGCGTTTCCAAGAGAACCTTTCAAAAGTCTGGGATAAAAACTATCCTATGTTCTTTCTCAAGGTCAACTCTATCTCTGTACCGAATTTCATTAAAATCAGTTCAGTGGTTTAGGCGTGAAAGCGTAGCAGACAGACAGACAGACAGACAGACAGAGTTACTTTCGCATTTATAATATTAGTAGGGATTGAGTTAACGCAAACAGAAGTAAATTAACTTAGAGTTTATCAATATAAATGTATGTAAACTATAAAATAACAATCAAATTAAATGAAATAGAAAACAAGCCTCAAATACTCAACATGATTCTGCTCTCTAATAAAATGGTAAAATATACAAAGTAATGTTAATAGGTAAATAAAATTATTTCCAACCACACCGTTTCATTAAACAATAATATTGAAACTACGATTTAAATAATAGTCTTTTTACTCGTATGATTTTCTTTACAAACCTTTCCAATACTATAATTATTCAAGTTGTGAATATTACCAAAGAAAACCAAAATATTATATATTTTATAGAATTAATACACTATGTAAAACCATTCGTTCGTCATTTTAATTATTTAAGTTATTAGAATAAAATAATAAAAATACCCGTAACAGTTGTAATATCTTAGGAATATTTAATATTTATTTTGCAAGTAATTGCATAGATTCACGTATGCGGACGCAATTAGTGGAAGCATCCGTAGAGACGATGTTATAGCACATAGATGAATAGGTATGTGATAATAATATCCATCAGTATATTTTCCATACCCAAGGGAGCTTATACAAGATATTTACATTTAAATTATATGTAGATAATACACAACAAAACACATAAACGATCTCAATAACAAGTTTATTTACATAGACGACCTGCATTCCGGAAATCTACTTCGATTTCATCAACAACTTATATTAAAGGCGATTTAAAATTTAAATATACATTTACTTGTAACAGAATCACTAAAACTTATTTTGTTAACAAGGAATCAAACGAATTCTATAATAAATACTCTCAATGATTTAGAATCACACATGTAACGAGAATGTAATAACAAACAAAATATTCGTACACAGAGGGTCCATTTGAGCCAGCAGGTATGACTGACGGTCATCACTACGAGGCGGGCAAACAGAGGAGCGGCTCACGACAGCGGTCACACCCCATACTGACGGTACCACCACACTATCACACGACACACTTACTACTGCCGACGCACGGTAGCTGGGCCTGTTTACAAAATAAAGCCTATTTAGAACGAGGGCGAAGGGCCGGCGCGTCGCGCGGCGTTCGACCGAATAAAGGTAAGAGGCGGGCGGCTCGTTTGTTAGGCAGGGGCAGAGGGACCGGCTCCGCGGTGAGATCAAAAGCGCCGCAGATCAAAGGAGCCGCCGCGCGATCGGCATCCGTCATTATTATTATGCAAGCATTACGGAGCGCGTGACTCAGGCGAGTAGGCCACGCGAGCTGCGCGGGCGCCGGTAGAACCCCCCACTCCCCTCGCCCAACCCCCTAACACATCCCCGTACTATGCAGCACCTGTTACACAAAGTGTAAAATTCAACCCTAAATTCTCAAAGCACGTTTTCGCACCGAACATTCTGTGTACTCGCCTTACGCCTCATTAAGTTTAATAACTTTGTTTGCAAGAAAGTACTTAAAACAATACAGAATTGTTTCTTAGTAAGTAATTGTTATTTATTTCGTTTCACAAGGAACAGATGTTTAGTTGTTGTTGTTGTTTTTAAATGAATTTCTTGTCCTTTACAATGCCGCTGTTTAAAATATTTTTTACTTCACATGATGCTGATAGTGTCGTTCCATTTAATGAGAACTCTTGTTTGTAACACTGAAAATGTCTTGTCCTAAATAAGTTTTGCTGATTGCGTATAACATAAGACTTCCGCGATACCTCTCAATCTAAAACACATAGAAGTGGAAGTATTCAATGGCCATGGATGAAGGATGAATGTGGTCGCAAACTAAGTAGAATATAATTGGCGGGCGGCACGGCAAGGTTCAAAGCCAGTACCTGCCTGTAAAAATGCCATCATAAAGCCACACGGCCACAATGAGCCCTTTGACAGTTGGTACCTTTATGATGCCGACTCTGATATACGATTCGTTCTCATTATACTTACTTTATCGACTCACGATACTGAATCTAAAGCTACCAGTATAATAAATCAGGACATCTAACAGAGCGGAAGAATTAACCGTTTTGATCATTCAAAATCTTTATGGCTTATTATTTAATCCCATTATGTTTAAGTCGGGACGCTCTTTTAAAAGGGCTTTGATATAGAACACTAATTTTCCATAACAATGTGCCCAACAAAAGGTTTTTTGTGCTCGTTAATAGGGTCTTATTAATTTATTAGAAGCTGTAAACAGATTATTCTCAAATGGGTTTCGATTCAGCTGTTCTTACGGGCTCGTTTCTTTTACTATACATAATAGTATAAAGGGAGCGTTTTATTTTATTTTCTATGAATTAAACTACATGTTTTACTAAGAAAGTACTTAAAGCAATTCGTTGGAAGTCAGCTGCGGGGTCATTACATTTCTTTATGCTTGGGAATTTTAACAGTCTGTAAGATAGATAGAGAAATGTACTTATAACTATTTCGTAAATTATATTATGTTAAATTTGTACCCTGTCTTGCTGTCACTTTGTTGTCACATCACTAGATAGAAAAGCGTTGCTTTGACCGAAGAAATTTTTATTCAGACTAGGTAATGTTTTTTATTCAATCTCAAACTAGAATTAAATATAAACTTATTAGCATATATGGAATTCTTTTACTATATTCAATATAAAGTGTTTGGATTAGATTTTTCATATCATTACTTCCCATTAATATATTTAGAATTATTAAAACGTCTGCATACAATTATCATCAATAAACACAATATGTCATTTACATTATAATTAAATCATCAATTTCTGTTGATTTAATGAAATAATGTCATCTTTAAATTGAATTTCATACAAAAATGAAACTAATATTTAATGAAAATATTAGTTTCATTAAAAAAAATACCTACTTACGAGTCACGAAAGTCTGACATCTGATTATTCAGACAATAATTATTTATTATGGAATCAAATAAATTATATGAAAAATGAATATACTCAAATTTAAATCAAAAATCATAACAAACTATGGGCAACTACTCTTAATTGAATTATAGATGTTCATAATAAGAAATAAATACGACACACCATTTCTATACTTATAACAGTAAGATTTTGGTATTTTTTTTCTATTCTACATTCATATGACTAACTGTACATATAAAGATCAGTAGATTTAAAAAAAAACCTGTTAATCATCTGGCTAATGTATGAAATCTGGAAATGTAATGACTAGAAAATTATAATTGTAAAATCATTGCATACGGCAAAAACATAACGTACATTCCTAGCATATATTATATTCACTCATACACATACATTGTAATAATTATCTATATAGTAATAATTTTATGAATATTGTACACTAAATGTACAACCAATTCGCATAAGATATGTATTATGTATACATTTATGTTTTTACAACGCTACTGGCTGGCGACTCACGAACGGACAAAAAAATGTTAGGTTCATCTCGAGCTAGGTGTACAGTCACGCACATAATACATTAACTATTTTATATAATAATACACTAAATAATTACTAAAATAAAAATGATATAGCAATTACTCAAAATTTATTTAATTAAGGTATATTTAATAATTTTTTAAGAGTACTAATATGTTAGTGGAAGTAACTCATTCATCATCGCACGTTGTATATAAATCGTAAGCACTTTTGTCAACGACAGTACCAATGAATAAGCTTCGGTAGCGAAGCACGAATGGGCGAGTATCGTAGTAGTGCGATTCCGGGGCCACAGGCTCCGAATCACAATAAATCTGAAATCTGAACCGATAAGTAGTCAGGCGGATTGCCGCCGCGGCGTGATCAAAGAGAAGGGAGGCACATGAAAGACGCCGCGGTCTTCGCTGAGATGTTACATTTGATACCGCGTTTCCAACAACAGACGGCACGTCATTTATAACGTGACGTTTTAATTAATGCTGTATCCGAGCGACACTTGACGTGACAACGACGTGACGAAGGTCGGCCCCAAATGAATTTTAGATTTCTCTTATATTATTTTAATTAAAGCTTTGTATGAACGTCACTTATTTGCAGATGAGGTTTCCAAAAAAATTCGTATTAATTTCTAACACTCGCACTCTTTTTTTTTGGTTCAAGAATATATTTTAAAACTTTTATTCTGTGGACAGTGAGCACAGATTAAAATAAACTTATTTAAAGGAATAAAAAGATTCGGTTATTTTGGTACTGAGACTTAAGTAGTCGTTGTGCTTAATCTTTTAATGACATATTTAAAGTGGTTAAAATATTTTTGAAGGAAAGAATTTACCAAAGCGTAAAATATAAAGCATGTATTGAAACTTTCATTGCTCCTGTTTCAAACTGCAACCTTAAGAAGGATATACTTTATTTCTTTGAAATTCTCGTCATATATTGATTCTTCTTCTACCTGGCAATTTTCCAGCTTTAGCCAGGGTCTGCCTTACATGTTGTGTATAGTTTTGGCTAATTGTTTTTACGACTCTTTGGGAATGCATTAATCAGTGATGTCTAAATACTCTTAGAAAGTACATACGACTCGGAAAAATCATATTGCTACTTGCCAATGTCAGGATCGAACCCGCGCCCACATGCATGAGAGGCGGGCCTTTTAACCACTAGGCCACCACTGACTTTTAAATTTATTTATAATATTATAATGGACACGCGTATTCATATATAGTCAGAGACCGTAACAGTTATTATCGCTTTATATGCATGAAGTAATAAGGTAGCAACGTACTGCTACCAGACGCTGGCGTCGCGTACTGTAATTAAATATTAATTCGCTATAAACCTTGATTTCAATATGTACACTATTCTAACTATATTATACAGAACAACATAACAATGTAAATGGCTGACATTTAATCTTAATCTGTTATCAATTAATTATTAAAGTTAGCGCTAATTATAATAATTATTATTTTGAACGTAATTTATGCCACTCAGGAGACTATAGGTCTTATTTTTCAATTTTGATTTTATTTGCTTGAATACCGTTTGTTTGTTCATTCAGCCGATCATAATACCTTTCATAGTGTGATAGTGTTTCTTTTTTGTCTTTTTATCTTTTGTTTGATCTTTTTTCTTCACCAATATTTTAATGAAAGTTATATCAATAAATTTAGAACTGTTTTTCTTTGAACTTCGTGTATACATCGTTTTGGTTGGATGCTATCCTTCACCCAATGATTTTTATTATATGGGCTCAAATACGTATTGAATCTAATGAATTGACCCTAATCTTGACCCAATCTAGGTTCTTCAATCAAGGAACGTCTTGACTAGTCACCATAACAAATTAATATTTTGATTGTCACTGAGATTAGTATTCCTAAACATATATTTAAATAAACCTCTTTAAATCATAATTTTAAACTTATCCGGTAATCAAAATGAATATTTGTCACTTGTCAATCCTCATTAATAAATTTTTGAATATTTGTTACACTTGCTTCTACGACCTCGGGCAGTAATTAATATTTTACACACACAATTTACCGCAATGATAAATTTTGACAGATGACACAGATGTTTAAAATTGTAATTATACTTCATTTTATATGTAGAAAAAGAATATTACACACAAATAACTCATAATAAGCAAATAAACAAATGTAATTCATTTGTTTTTCAAGTTTTATAAAATCCTTGCGATCTTTTAACAAAACTCGCGGTTTTTGAACAGTTGAAATTCGGTTTATATGAAGAAATATTCGACATAAAAAAAAGTTACAGCTCTAGACTATGTTTACAAACTAGCTCATAAATTAGCTCCTTAGAAAATCACAGTAAAGTTGCTATAAAGAGAATTAAAGCAGCTGACAGAAGAAGGTATTCTTTACGACTTTCTAACCATTCAGTGTTTTATCCTTGGCAGAATGTTGACACATTTTTTAGTTGTATACCTAACACATAATTGTAGCCCAAATATATAAGGTTTATATCTATTTTTTTGTAAACTAACCTACCAATATTTATTTATGAATAAAAACCTTAACTATTTGAGCTAAATTTCAGTGCAATTAAAATAAGATTTAGGAATTGCATTTTCGTGTATACCTAAGACTAAAGATTCTAACAAATATCTTTTTCGTGTATTACATATCAAAATACGTTTCCTTTATTTGGGAACGTTACGTAAGAATTAAATAATCTCAACTTGGCCAGTTTTCAAAGAAATCGGAGAATTTAACACTGTATTGAATTTCTGTATGAAGTACTTTGACTTCACCATTATTGAAGAATTTGGTTCACAACTTAGTTTCTTTTTGGAGACCTCTCTAATTTTAACGTATATTACATTCACGTGAAACATAAGACGAGTGTCGTTATATAATTTTCATAGTCATCTTTAAAATTATTTGTACTTGTATATGGATTCAAAACTGCAACCAGATAAAATCGTTTTAGAGTTCTCACACTATTTATAAAGAAAATCTTTGATTTTACTTCAAGAAGGCTGATAATAATTGAACGTTAAATTAAAGTGATATGATAATTTATTAGTTCCAAGTTAGTTTGCAGATATAAAGAAAAGACGCTTGTATGGCGACAACCAAATAGTAATAAGCTTCTTCTAGTTCATTTAAATATAACTAATGTATGAATATAACTTCATTACTTTGCCTTTCCCCGCTTTCAAGGCTAAACAGATATCAATGAGAATTTGTAAGTACGTAGATAGCAGTTTGGAGAAGAACTAGGATTTTTTTAGAGCTATACCCCAAATCTGTGGCAATAGTATGAAATTTTCTACTATACGTTTAGTCTGTTTTCTTGCTCCGTAGAGTTTTCCGGTCGCGTAATTGTAATAATTATAAATAAAGTGCTCATTATAAATTTAAACTTATACTTGTGTTATTATTTACAAATTAGTTCCTATGATGAAATCTTCTGGGATATAAGGTTAAAGGCCATAGGCTATAAGTCAGGTAATTTTCTAATTATTATAATGAAGCTTGCATGGCTCTCTTACGTAAATATCAACTTGAAGATATTAAATTGTTTATGGCTTTCCTCTATAAAAGGCGGTTTGTTTGTTTTGTCTATAAACCCAGAAGTATAGACAAATTACATATTTTTGAACTAATCTATGGTCATATGAAATAATATTTTTTTTATCAAAAATAACTACTTTGATTTTAAAAAATGGTTTATTGTCGCGACGTTATTAACACGCTGAGACTGAACGAATCTCAATTATACAATTCTTTTGTAATTTCTTTATTCGGATATTTTAGACAAAAACATTTGTTACGGTTCCCGCGAAAAATTCTGTTCAATGTCTAAAGCCAGACATCTTTGTTTGTCGTCATTCACTACTTCAGAATATAAATACATGCCTATTAATTATATTTGATGTCACAAAAATTGAAGTGTTCCATGGTACGTCACTTGATCTTACTCATCATCATCATATCAGAGCCCACTGCTGAGCAAAGGCCTCTCCTCACATGGAAAAGGTTTGAGCATTAATCACCACGCCTGCTCAACATGGGTTGGTGATTTCAAACTTATAATTTGAAATTATAAGCTCAGGTTTCCTGACGATGTTTTCCTTCACCGTCTGTCAGTGGTTTCTCAATACTCTTAGAAAGTACATATGACTCGGAAAAATCACATTGATACTTGCCAGGATTGAATTGTACTAATAAAATACTAATCGTATTTTATAAGAACGAACGTCAGGTCAATGAACCTTGTCGGTAAGGAAGACATAGAAATTTGTGTTTAAATTAAATATTAGTGTTTTTTACACCAATATTTCGCATAATTTGGTTCTCTGAACCACGGATTTAAAGCTAAATAAATGAAGCAATATTTTTAAATTATAGGATATATCATTACTACTTTTATCAAACTTTCTTAAATTTTTTCTTTGACTTCAAAAAAATATACTTAAGAAAGCGATTTCTCTATTTCAATCAATCATTTACAAACCAATGTTACAAAGAAAATTTGTTACCAAACAAATGTTTTCGTGTAAGTTTAACTTGCAAACTTCAAAATAGGAACTAAACGAATATTTCTAAGCAAATCTTTGTCCATTCCTTCCTGAGAAGAATTATTCAACCTCCATACCTCACTTCACTTATTATGAATAAAACAAAACTAATTTCAAAACAACTTTATTTGAACGAATAAATTATATTTGACATTCAAATTTCTGTATTTACTTGAGACAGATAAAAAACGAAAAAAAAACAATTTAAAAATCGGATACAAAAGCTTAAGGCACGCATCTTTATCACAGAATACAGCAACTAATTATCCTAAACGAAGAATACAAATACATCTACTATATATTAAATATTATTTTTTTGGGCTTATAATAAATTACTAATATAACCTAGGAAGCTCACATTTAAGCGTTTTTAAATATATTTTTCATACAATTCTGACACATAACATCAAATAACAAATGTTTTGAGATCCTAAAATTCCTACATTATGCATCAGAGATTCAAAATACACTCAACAATTTAAAAAAAATTATTGCCGTTTTCCAAGAAAATATGTATATACAATTAATTATCGATTCGTTACATATAATAGGAGTATTCAAATCCTTTGTACAATATCTTAGTTTGACCGAATTCTCATAATTAATATGGTTTTCATCCTAATGAAAAGAATTGCTTGCTTGGCATCTTCTGTCTCTGTTTCTTGAGGAACTCCCGCGCTTGTTTGTCACCTTGTCTTGATTCCAACGCCTTGATAGCGTCGCCGTCTGAAATATTAATAACGTTTTTATAATAAAAGCTGACACGGCAAACGTTGTTTTGCCATATAAAAACATATGGGTTGGTGACTAAAAAAAAAAGTAAAAATTTTGGGTTGTATGAATTTTTTTAAGCAACATTATAAAAAAATAAACAAAAAAAACCCTTTATCACTTAGGAGTATGAAAAATAGATAGTAGCTGATTCTCAGATCCACTGAATCCCTGCTAATATTATAGATGCGAAAGTAACTCTGTCTGTCTATCTGTCTGTTACGCTTTCACGCCTAAATTTGATACAGATATAGAGGTAATCTTAAGAAAAAACGTAGGATATGTAACATGTTTTTATCCCACACTTTTGAAAGGGTTTCTTGGAAACGCGATATAACTGAACTCCACGCGGGCGAAGCTGGGGGCCAAAAGCTAGTACTCACTCAACTTTATAAAATTTGGTAGAAATCATTAAAACCGTTTCAGAAGAGTACGGTAACTAACACTGCGACTTTGAAATTTTATATGTTAAAGTTTAGGCTAATCTCACTATCACTCTATAGAATGTGTTATGGGAGTATAACTTAGCAAAATAATTATATATATTTTTTCAGTTATTTTGCATTTTTATCACAATATAATTCACTTGACAATTAAATTTACTCCACACACACAAACATCTCCTCTCCATCGAACACACACTCCTTACATTACCTCTCTCACACATACGTACACATACTATCGCTATCTCTCTCTATCAATACCCAAGAAAGCAGGACGCACCTATGTTAGCTGGCCTCGATAGCGGCAAGTGTTGTTGCGGCAGACTCGATATAGGTGCATTAGTATGAACCACCTCACTAAAGTGTAGATAAGCCTCGCCAACGAACGTGTTGCTGACACTGAACATGTCCTTGTCCTTCACCACCAAGTGGATGAGGCCGTTGGTTGTGTTCACTTGGGATGAGCTCAGCTGACTGAAACATACATACATATAGTAAGTAACATGATCAAGAGCTTCCCCTTAAACAGCTAGCTTCCCTTTAAACAGATAGCTTCCACTTAAATTCTATTCTATCATAAATAATCGTACATATATATGTATAAAATTTTTATATAATAGAAGATATATGTATGGTTTGACTAAAACACTCATAATATTCCTCCATACAAAGTATTTTTTTTGCGTCATTTTAAAAGTTTTATGGAATTGTCATATAAATGTAAGGAAAGTGAGGGGTATCTTATAAATATTATTTTGTGTTATAATTAAATTTTTTTTTTTTTTGAATTACCATATGAATCTAATGAAAGTAAGAATGTCCTAAAGTAGTAATATATGTTTTGTGTTACTTACATGAGGAACATTTCGTCGTACAATGGAAACAGATTCTTGCTGTGTGTTTGTGTCTTCGGTTTCTCAACGTTAGCGAATGTGTCTTCAGGAAGCAGGCCCACTCGGACGTATGAATCACATAGACCTGCAAAAATATTAAAAATATGATGATAGTCTATGCTTAATAAATCAGAGTTTGGACAATCACACCATGATTCTAAAGCAATAAATATTTCTGTCGTTACATCTTACAATAATCTAAAAACTTTGGAGCACCAAAAATATACAGTTAAAGAAAAAAACTTCTCATCATTTAATGTATTCATATGCGTGTGTCGGGTCCATCGTTGTAGTGAGAGGAGCTTCAACAGTGACTGGGACTTGTGACCCAGGTGTAGGTTGAAGGAACTCTATCTAACGCGTTAAACGCTCACCTCCACTGTCAAAGCTCCTCTCTCTACCAACATTTATCTATACAATCATTAATCTCTCCTCCCTCCCAACCAAATGTATCTATAAAATCATAAATCTCTTACCATTTGAGTCTGTCGGCATTAAGTTCCTAGCGTTCATGATTTCAATTTTCAGATTATCCTCTACAAACTGCGCCCTCACTGTTAATAATCCCATTTTCGGTTCAGTGACGGCCTGCTGTTCCTGCCACCGTTCCAAGTGATACTGATGTATCAATTCCCTAGTCTCCATGCCATGAAGCTTCAATAAATATTCAACTCTCTTCAGAGTCTCAGAAGTAAAAGTCTCTTTATTATCCTGACGGAAAGATCTCACCATGATTTTGAGACATTCGTGCAGATTGTGAAAGAATGCTGGCGGACGACGTTTCTAGAAATTTTATGATTTATATTAAATTTTTTGTCCATTAGAAGATGATTTCAACCGTAACCGATATACCGTCAAAACAAAATATACTAGAAAGCTCAAAACCTCAAAGCTGGATTGAAAATTCAAGGAACACATGCGACTAGTTGCAAGTAATCGTAAGAGTAATCTGTTCACATCAAAATTTGCACGGTTTAGCAGAATAGGCCATTGAATGTAAAGACAGTTCAAATACTGGTGAATCTTAAAGAATTGCCGAAAATTCGTCACACACGACAATATAAAATTTAAGATTTATCATCACCAATTCCTATTCATATCAAAAATCGCACAATTTACACTATATAAGACCAAGCGTGCAAGATTTTCTTGCAAACAGATGCCATCAATACGACATTGATATATAAAAAGAGCTTTATCGGGCGTAAATAATATCATATATCGACATACAATAATTGGACGTTCGTACAAGCTGTCATAAACACAATGCAATGGCTACTCAAGCGAACCTGTAGGACATACGGACAGAACAAACACATTCACCTAGCTTGGACCCTGACAATGAAAAAACACTATATGGAACTAAATAAAAGATTAATACTAATATTTTTTTACATTTACTACTCGTTTATTATTATTTTTGAGTATATACTACCGACGTTTTGATCACTTTTATTATAATATAATAATATAATAAATTATATGAGACAAGACGAAATGACAGACGTTAATATCTCGTCTGCCCGTGATCACGGTTGCTGAAAATTAACCGAAACGTTGGAAATATGAATATAATAAACGCAATTTAAATACCAAAAATATTAGTTTTATTTCAATGAAAACTGTCGAAAATCTAAGACCTCATTCACTTAGAAGATAATGTATTTATATTATCATAGCATCGCAATAAGACAAAATGCAATATAAACAGAATGAAAAAATGCAAATATTTAGTTTCAAGTTCTATCAATGTACTAGTACAAGACCAAAATCTGAGAAGTAATGCACAAAAAAAGATTTACTATTTATATAGTCATCGTTATCAGCCTATCAGAACCCACTGCTGGGCAAGGACCTCTTTCTCACATGGAGAAGGTTTGAGCATTAATCACCACGCTTGCTCAAGATGGGTTGGTGATTTCAAACTTATAATTGTGAAACTATAAGTCCAGGTTTCCTCACGATGTTTTCCTTCACCGTCTGTCAGTGATGTCTAAATACTCTTAGAAAGTACATATGACTCCGAAAAATCACATTGGTACTTGCCAGGTTTGAACCCGCGCCCTCGGCAACGAGAGGTGGACCCTTTAACCAATAGGCCACCACTGACTATATAGTTATATTTGTGCATTATCTCTGACTTTGGATGGTGAGTAATGTATAAGGTCGAGGTGCACCATGCTAGAGGTCAAAGGTCACGGGTCAAGGTCAGGGTCCAAGCCACAGCCTACGTGTATAGTAACGTGAGTGCAGTTTTACCGCGTCCACAACCGCAGCGGCTGATTTTGTGAGCCTCCTCGGGTCGATATAGCGACCTATCTTTGCCCTTCGGTGCTACACAACAAATTGTCAAAATTAATGCCAAAAAAAAAGCCATGAATGCCACCAGCGCCATCTAATGCCAAACACTGTGCTAGATGTGATAGTATTAATGTCGAAATTTACCCTGACTAACACAGTTTTTGGTGAGACTTTATTTTTTCCGAAATATCTACGCCTAAACAAGCTGATACGGCTAGCGATTCGCGCTTTCTACGGAATCGGAAAAAATTAGTAGTGTTAGTTTTGTTACCAGATGATGATTAAGAAAAAAACGGAAAATATTAATTAAAAAAAAAAAATTCAAATTTCGAACGTTATAAAAGGAGTTTGTATACCTCTAGATTAGCTTGAATGAGTTCGTAAAGAACTTCGCCCAGCTGTTCCCACACTATATCTAAAGTTCTGGAGAAGTTCTCATTGTTGAGGTGATGATACAATGTATCCAAATTATCTTCAAGGTACCTCATGACGCGGTCCATGCTTGAACAGTCTTGATGAAGGAGTTCCGCTCCTTCGACCAAGAATCTGGTTATAGATGGCATCATCTGGAAATGAGGCAGTGAGGATTAAACATTAACGTTTTTTTAAACGCTCGTTTGTTACAAGACTGTGAAATTCGAGTTGAAGTATATTGTAATGCATACATAATTAAACACGAACGTTTTTTTAACGCTCGTTTATAACAAGACCGTATGTTTAGTTAAGCTTCAGTTGGATAATGTAATATTTAGATTAACTTTAGACGTAATCGCTTACTAACGCTCTTTTATAATACTTGCGTGATAATTTATTTTAAAGTGGTTATTTTAACGCTTTTTTTTAATTATAAGAAAGATTAATAAATATATACCTATTACATTCAATCATTTTGTTTCTCAAATATAAAAAAGTATGTCTAGTATGTTTAAAATTTAAAACCAACGTACCTTTTTGATCATTATTTCTAACAGTTCAGCAATTTTATTTTTAACCGTGTCTATTGCGTTTGCTAGAACGTTCTGTAAAGTTTCTTTGCATCTGAAAAATAAAATGAATTATAAAATAACGCACGAGAATTTTTTATGTTTTACCATTATACTTTAATTGGACAAATTAAAACTTGTTAATTAATATCATTTATCACTGAGATGTATTATTAACGGACAGTTGCTTCCAATTTAAAAAAACGAAATGTCAAAATCGAATCATTTGACGTATAATTTGACAGCTGTCATACCTCTGTGCCTCTAATGGTGTTCTGGCCTCACACATCCTATTGATGATGTCATCCATTCCCAGTTCAGCGACGAAAGGCGTAAGGCTCTGTCGCACGTAGTCTATGTTGTTGATGGCTACACACCATTCGGTGGTGACCTCAAAACGTTCCTCGTATACAGAGGTCACTGACCCCGCGCCCTCCACGCGACCGGACATCCGCTCAGCGAAGAACACGCAGCAACGGCAGATGTCCTATAAATATTTGGATATGAACACATTAATAATAATGCAGTATATATGTTCTATGCGTTCGAAATTTAAAAATATTATAGAAGGATTTTAATCTTTTATTCTTTAGCCAACGAGCCAAGATAAATTTTGTCAACAACTTATGTATTTAAAAAATCTATTATTCTTCTATGCTTAACAGATATTTTGACAAACCATAAACAGAAAGAATTTTAACATACTAATATATAAAAAGGTACATATTTTTTATTCCTTAGGAATTTATTGTAATATGTAATCTATCTGTCTCATAAATTTTACCTTCAATATATTGGCATTACTTAGAACATAATTATCCAATTAAAACATTATATTAACAAAATTATCCAATCCAAACATTATATGTATAATATCCTTACATCTATAATCTTCGCCACGAACGCGTAACATCCTTCAACATCAGGCCAGGATAATTGCTGCCAGAATATCTTTATCTGATAGAATATTGCGAGCGTATCAACTCCAGAACTACTGTATTTTACGTTAGCGTCAACAGGCGCCAAATTATCCAACTCAATGGCCTTTTCTATACGAGTGAGAGCCTTATATGCCGCTATATCCAACCATTGGGCCACACCGCCGTAGAACCACGAATGGAATTTCGATATAGAGTAGTTCTGCCACTCAGTTTCATTTAGACCTTGACCCAATCTGGAAATATGATTATTTTGTCAATTATGGTCCACATTTAAAAACATTTGGAAAAATTTGTCTAATATGTAATATAAAATTTTTGATTGGGTCTTCAGGTAAATTATTATATATAGCCTTATTAGTACGAATTCTATAGAACCTAATATAAGGAAATATATATATATTTCCTTATATATATATATTTCCTTATATTAGGTTCTATTTTACTAAACATATAAATATATATATATATATATATATATATATATATATATATATATATATATATATATATATATATGTTTAGTAAATTATTCAAGAGAAAAGAGTATCTTAGTGAATAATGAGTTTAATTTTAACATATTTGATATACTATAAGGAAAACTGCATATATATATATATATATATATATGTCAATTTAGTAACCAAATTAAGATTATCAACCAGTTTAGTAGTATTTCATATAACTTACGTTAAAAACCTCTGCAAAGCTAGATACAGTTCAAATAGTGTGGTTCCCATGGCTAACGGCTCGGAACCGACCTCTGTAGCTCCCAAACCAGTCTCGCCGTTCAAACCTCCAGCCAAAAAGACACTATTCGTTGAACCCTCACTATATCTTAAACGCTTCATGCTCTTACACACTTGAATAACTTCAGGTTCAACCAACGACGCAATCTTATCTTCATACACACCGTATAAAACTTTGGAGTACGGAAAACTCATTACTCTGTAAATTTATCATTAATACAACAAATGCTCTCAGAAACCTTTAAAAAATCAGTAAGATTTTATATGACCAAAATACTCACTCAACGAAAACCCTATCGAAATATTCAACAGCCCTTTGTAAATCGGATCTAACCAACTGTATGACTCTTATTAGATGCTGTAACCTTGATTCTTCGGTTTTATCCTTACATTCATTATTATCTAATATATGGACGAACCAATCCGACGCACCCTGTATAGCTGCCTGGTTCAAAACTTCATGTATGGTCAGTTTTTCGTCATTCCTCAGCCATCCATATAGATTTGTGGGGAACAAATCTATTGATTCCGGTACATCCATTACGGATAGCTTGTGAAGTATTCTGAGCACTTCTCTCAAAGTCTTCATAACCGTTTTATCGCCAGCCGTCTTTTTCCTCAATTTCCGTACGTGACTGTAACACGTTGGCAGTAATTTTTTCGCTCCGTCCCAAAAAAGCTTTCGATCCTCTTCGTTAACGAGACCTGATTATGAGAAAATATATGAAAATTTGTTATTATGAGAGTTTAGTCCTTGCAAACTTTTAAGTTTTGTTGTGATTTAAAATTCAATAATTGATTTTTTGGTATGAATACAAAAATGTAAGCCACTTTAAAGGCAAAATTAAATCATACAGAAAAAAGTAATCTGAATAAAAAAATAAGCCAATTTTACGCTAACATTAATACAATATATGTAAATAATTTAATATAATAAAAAAAAATTGTTTATTTCTGTAACTTATACATATACAACAGATACAGCTAGGGAGCTCCTTTTAAGTATGTAATAGAATTAACTTGTGTTAGGAGTCCCGCTCTTACACAAACGGAATAATAGAAAATACATATTAATACCATAGTTTGGACCAAAAAAATGTAAAATACATATTAATACCATAGTTTGGTCCAAAAAAATGTATCAGTATCTAAGCTATAACTGACCGGACTGTAGCGGCTTAGCCAGCTTGTCCAGTAAGCTGGTGAAGAGGGCGAAGCTTAGCGGGTGGTCGGGGGTTACAGAACAGAACACGACCCACTGAGAGAGGCGGTCTTCTAAAGGGGTTAAGCCGCTTTGCGCAGCGTGTTGGGTTAGAACCCCTTCCGCAGCAGCGCTGAAGTTACCACACCACCAATATGGCGCCACCTGAAACAGTTATTGTGAGTTATGACCTAATATTCACGTTATAGAACATATACTATGGTATATGAGTTTGGCACAGTTCATATCGTTAGTATAACACAACCTATACAAAAACACATATACATTCATTTTTTCTAACCAAAAAGTAATAACCAAAAACGATTTCCATATTTCGAAAACATTTTAAAACATTCGCTTCCCAATTTTTCTATTAAAATCCTTCTTCACCAAATAAAATTTAAAATTCATGATATTCAAGAGCAACTATATTTTAAACCTACTTCCCTCCTCCTATTTTATGAAGCATTGTCCTTATATACAGGGTGACTGGTGAATTACTATCAATATTTAAGGAGAATACTCGGTACATGATTCTCATTCGAATTATGTAAAAAAAATAGGCACTTTTTTTTTGACAAAATTTCCGTATAAATAAGTAAAGTGTTGACACGTTCCAAGTGTTCAAGTGTGGACGCGTGCGGCGGCGTGCTGATACAAAACCACGCCCACGCCGCGTGTGTGTGAGTGTGTGTGTATACCTAATCTGTAGGGTGTTCACACGATGCGTAATTAATTACACAACTTTTGGTTAACTTTACTTAGAAGTTTATTAATATTTATGTTATATTAATTTTTATTTCGTCATGTATGATCGTCAAATATCACGTCCTCAAATATCGATAGTAATTCACCAGTCACCCTGTATATAATTCTTCCGTGAGTGTGCATGTCACTGAACTTCTCTCAAACGACTGTACCGATTTTGATGAAATTTTTTGTGTGTGTTCAACCGGATCTGGTAAATGGTTTAGATTCACAATTTTGTCCGCTGGACAATGTTTTTTTAACTGATTTTTAATTTATTAGTAGTTGTTGATACAAACTTTTTTTTACTTTAGATTTGACATCTAACTAATATGTCAATCATTCTGTCACACTTCAAAACACGGAGATTTATGGCTTTAATAGGTAAACTCCAAAAAATATAAATAAAAAAATGTAACAGATATTTCTTAATTATAGGGCGATACGAAGTTCGCCGGGTCTTCTAGTATACATATATATCATACCTTTGAGCTCTCCAACTCATGTAGTAAAAGTATCCTCAACAGATGTCTATGTTCCTGTGCAGCAACTTGAGAGTTCTTTTCTGATGAGAAGTTAAACCGGACCTTCACGACTCCTTGCCGTCTCAACTTACTTTTCTTGCTTAGGTTCAGCCACATTACCATACCACCGGCTGGGATTGACTGAAATGGAACAATTACTGATGAATAACCTAAAAACACTAGAACTGATGCTTTCGAATCTTTACAGCAACTATGACATCCATGTAAACAAAAAATTAACAACAAATACGCATTTTTTAAATGGATGTTGTAGAATACAGTAATATAAAGTGTTTAAATAAAAAAATTATAGCTTAATTGCTACATTGGCGATTAAACATAGGACCCATCGATATAGTAGGTTCGATTCCTGATCGTCTTGATGGATTTTTTATGAATAATTTTAATCCATATATATAGAGAGAGACGAAACTTTTCAGCGTTTCATGTATTCACCGTGCGTGTGTCGGGTCCATCGTTGTAGAGAAAGGAACTTCAACAGTGCCTGGGACTTACGACCCAGGTGTAGGTTTAAGGGACCCTATCTAACGCGTTAAACGCTCACCTCCACTGTCCAAGCTCCTCTCTCTACATAACCAAATTGAAAAAGAACCTACAAGGGATACTATTATGAATTATTTATAGTAAAATAAATGATCGTACAATAATTTTTATAATTTTTCTACAAATGATTTAACAGTAAATCAAATACATATTGCGGTTAGGTATTAAACTTAAAAAAAATATGTTAAAAAGTATATTACTTTAGAAGTTAATGCAAAATATACGGGAAAATAAGCCAAAACATAAATGCAGACAAGATAAGATATTTAAAGTACAAAACAATCAAAAGTTTTTACTTTTATCTGATAATTCATTTATATATGATGCTAAATGTATGAGTCATCTAATAACCAAAAATTAATCAAGCAAGTCACCTTCAATAGTGCTATCTAAAGAGATTATCCCAACAAAAGTAATATATTTAAGATATTCCACTAATATACTCGTAATATAAGATTATTCATAACAATAACCAATAAATTTCAACGCGTGACTTAAATCAAAGCAAAATGGTTTTTGTTATTAAAACTTCGTGTAACACAAGCGTTGTTTTAAAACAATACTTAAAAGGGAGTCATTATTTATATAAACTAGAGTACAATAAAATAGACCAAGGTATGAAAAATTTGCAAAAAAATTAAAATCTAGTTATTCTTCTATTTGACACTGTTATACTTACTTTTAGTGGTATATTCGCGGTACCAATGAGTTCGTTGTCATGTTTTCCAGTAGAAGCTGTGATAGCTATTTCCTTCATCAGCTTTCGAAGGCCCTTAACATCTTTAACTTCAAATATCTTCGTCATTTTCTCTTTAACTGTCTCCGCTGGGTCAAAGTCCCTAAAAATAGAACATCGTATTTTTAAAGATGGATATTATGTTTTACAGTATAAAAATATTTTCAAATACATTGACTGTTCATAAGATCTGTTTTGCTAAGACTGACAAGAATCAGGGATTTAAAACCCACAAAAGCCTGTAGCTATAGTATATAGCTTTTATATTATATATAGCTATAGTATATAGCTATTATATAGTAAGTACACAATATCTTAGTATTATCCCATAATACTGCATATAACAAAATAAATATCAGCTACTTTACTCACCAAACTTCTAAACAAAGAGAATCTTCCTGAAGACTACCCGGCATTGGTCTGAAAACAAATAATATTAAACTTAACACATATCCAAAATATTATGAGCCATGAATCTAAAAAAAAGTAGTAAAACTATATACTTGAATTCATCTGGCTATCATCGTTAAACTGAAAAACATTTCAAGTTTTATTACCAAAACTAAACCCTGACCTATACTTACAATGAAAAATGTTCCTCCCACACTGGATTCAGCGTGCCTGATTTAACTGACGTGTTATATCTATGGGAAGTGTTTGACATTAAATATATTGTGACGAACGGATCGCTTAAACCACTCGGATCTTTTGGTACTAGGTCCTTTCCTTCTATCACTTCTACGTTAAGCATCAATTCCGGTGGCTCTTTCGCCTCTGCCTGTGTGAGTAGTTCCATGTGCTTCTCATTGGATATCTTGAAAGCCTCTTGCACATATGATAGCATAGCCTGTGCTCCAACCTCGCAACCTACGTCACATCCGCCGACATTGTGAAGGATTTCGTATAGAATTTCCAAATACAATTCATCCACCTGCAAATGATGTAATTTTTTATTATATTATGAATACTTAATCAATGTCACTTAATTTACAAAAAAAATAAATATTGAACCCTTAAAAATACGCTGTCTCTTAAATTTTAAACATAACAACATTTATCGTATAACTTTAAAAACAATTACACTTTTTATAAAAATTTTCAAATAATATTCGCCTACACAGCTATACTATTTCAAAATATTAGAATAATATATTCAAAACGATACTATTTCGTAAAAACTAAATATAAAAAACAACCTAATAAGCACTATAAGTCCGCAAATGTTGAATGACCTATACAATACTACCTAATAAGTTCACTGACCCACACGCTCACAACATTGTTCCTACTAGTATGTTTTCAAATACATCTAATAACTATTAATTGTAACAGTTTAAAAAAAGACACAAGATCGCCATTTAGTCACCGGAAACATACCGATGGGTCGTAGTAATACGCGAGTATCATCTATAGTAACGAAGGAAGTGTCCATCAGTGTTGAAAATGAGTTTTAAGACTGAGTTCGTTTCCATAACAGCGAGCGAGTCAACAGAAATTTATATTACAGCGAATAGGAGTACCGCATGATATGATATTTACATGGTTACTGCGCCGTCGTGGGGAACATATTGATTTGATTGAATGCACCTACAAGTTTAGGCCCATGGTCATGTTGAATAGTCATTATTTATGATACTATACAAACGGCGATAAAGGCAGATAATTAAACATATTATTACAGACAAACTGCATATATTTTAGTCGAATATAACAAATTTTTTATTTATTTATAACTCTGAACTCATTTACATGTCTCACTAATACAGGTTGTCACGAAAGAATTGTCATTTTTAAACTCGATACTTCTAAAAAAAATCTTTTTTTTCACGAACGATAGTTATTATGAGAATTTCACAGTCTAATTTCTGTCATTAACATCTACGCGGTGGTCACAAAATTTTAGACTTGATTTTTAAGTAATATCTTTTCTGATTATCAAATAAACATACAGTCATTGATTGTATAAGCATGCTCGTTTGTCGTTCCAGGAGCTCCTTTTTGACCCCCCTAAACCTTGTCCTCAGGGTACCCATCCCATTCATGGTCACTATCACTGTTACTTAACACATAACTTTTTTTTATTATCACTCTATGCTCGTGCACAAGACGTCTCTGTTCTGTCGAGACCGACCGGGACTCGGGAATTAAGCCAAACTGCCGCCAGATTCTATTTTTGCAAACCGCTACCATTGAAGACGAATGAGAATTCAACAAAATAATAAAAATGATACTCATTGCTTTTAAATGTTCTTTCTGAACTTACGAGAACAGATCCCTATCATTCGATAATTTTATTATATTTTATTTTCTACGAAATTAATAACATCCAAAGACAATTTTGTGCGCAACTAACGACTAACAAAAAAGATATATTTTATATGTACATATCCATAGAAGAGTATATAATTCGATAGTAAATAAATTAAGCATTATAAATACGCGTAATGAGAACCTATTTTATAAATCTTAAACGTTGTAACAATCAAAATCGCGTTACCAATTCAAAGTTATGCAAGATCAAATATATTAAATAATTTCTTAATGGTTTCGCTAATGGATGATTTGATATAAATATATCAATAAATTGATACATTAGGCTAAGTCCATAAGCTTGTGGATGTAATAAAAATAACTATAAAACCATCACAGCTCTTTAGACTAAATCAAACGTAAACGAGAGGCTTTTAACTGAAAATATCCAGATATCTGGCTGATATTTGAAGGTCGTATTAACGTACATTCAAATAACTTGATCTCATATATGTGGCTTATACTATTTGTATCAAGTAGATCCTTTAGTTGTATAGGAATATCCCTGCATTGAAATGCCAGTACAACTCATGTTTATAATAGAACTAGCAACAGCCAAGGTTGTTTGAAACGAGCATGCATTATATTTATTTGTTTTATAAACTGTATAAAGTTTACACTTACTCGTTAGGAACTACTGCGTTTTGTATACCTTAGTCGATGTCGCTAAGTGGACAATCATTTAATGTGTCTTCGGGACTTTAACAGTTGCTTGATAATTAATATATATGTAATATTTTTAAGATCAAAAAAATAAGTTACATACGAATTAAATATAAAATATGTATATCAAATTTAATGTGATCCCGGTAGGTGATAAAATAACAAGATCGACTGATAGACACTCATATGTCGTCTGCCCGTGATCACGGTTGCTGTAAAGTAAGCGAAACGTCGGGAGTATGTAGTTTATAATCAACAATAAAGTCGCGTAGGATATTCGCAAATTATTAGTGTCATTTAAATGAATAAACATGCAAAAATCTCAGTTCTCATTAATGAGAATATTTTCTGAAAAACGTTTCATTGTTTTCCATGAGTTTCTGTTATATAATATGTGTTTTATGAATTAATATGATAGTTTACTTGTAAAATTTAACATTTAGTTAACTTACTTTGGTTAGTCTTAAGTTTCATTTAAAAATATGATTTTTATCCCCAAAACTTTATACATCATGGTGAAGCTACTCACACAACACATGCCCCAATTAAAAAGCGCCGATATAAAAACTGTATACACATACTTAGCGATTCTTTCATTACACACTATCAAAATGTTTTAAAGATTTTATGGCTATTTCTGGCAGCACTTAACATTAAAGAATAAGATGACACTTTACATAGTGTTCTTATATTTGGCATTATTATTTCTTTATTCTCGGTTGATTTGCGCTTAGAATAAGGGTTAACGCGGAATTGAGCTTCAATTGAAAAGAGCATTTAGAATAAATAGGACTTCGAAGCAATCAAAGGAAGCTTTGTACGCTACAGAGTAATGGCAAGATAATGAAACCAGACTCGAAATCTAGGCATTTCTTGGCCATAATTGATTGAACACACATGTAGCTTATCTCAATAGCGCATATGCAGTGAACACATGTTAAATGGAATCTATCTAGTTAATAGCTGTATTTAATGGCTACTACTTGTGTACGTAAATACGGGTAACAAAACTAGTCGTTTATTTAGTTTCGTCGATGTTTAGAGTAGAATTTTTCTTTGAAAACAAGAGACTAAGGAAATTTAAATCAAGGTCAGAATGTAATAAATTAATCCGTCGAAACTAATTAACGTATTGTGTTTTGAAAACATTAGTTTGAATAAAAAAAAGATTTCTCATCACAGTGATAAAATATCACATGCTGATAAAAATGTCTATCGATAAAATTGTACTACCACCTGTAGTTTTATCGCAAAACTATCAATGAATCAAGCTTTATCTGAATAACAGAGATATTTTAAGCGTTTATGTCTTAAATATGACAAAAAAAGCAATGAGCATAGAAAAAATTGACATCGAGCCAATACATGCCAAAGTCCAGTGTCAAAATATGGAACGTAAATAAAAAAAATGGTTTAGGTGCTTTTCCTTTTATTTATTTTTTTATTCCTTAATTTTTAAATATAATTTAAATTAACTTTTGTAGCGAAATGGTTATTAATAATGTAATTTCTAATTTTAAGACATTTTAAGCTATTTATTAGTAGTAATGTAATTAATACGATTTATATCATATATTTTTTATAAAAAAGAAAACTGTAACCCTCGATTAAAATTGATCTTTGGATGTTTGCCAGAACTTGAATGCTTATGGTGACAAATAATAATTTCAAATTAACCGCGACCCACATTTAAAATAAGCCCAGCCAATGTCTAGTTCAAATTAATTCTGACTATAGATATAACGGAAAACGGTGATAGAAGAAATGACACCAACTTTAAAACTGACCATAGATAAAATCCCTACTAATATTATAAATGCGAAAGTAACTCTGTCTGTCTGTCTGTTACGCTTTCACGCCTAAACCACTGAACTGATTTTAATGAAATTTGGTATAAAGATAGAGTTGAACTTGAGAAAGAACATAGGATAGTTTTTATCCCAGACTTTTGAAAGGTTTTCTTGGAAACGCGATATAACCAAACTCTACGCGGGCAAAGCTGCGGACGGAAATCTGGTGTACAATATTTTTATTACATAAACATCAATCGGACAATCTAAAATGTTATATAGACGCGTCAAATATATATAAAATGAAATGGCATCCCAATTATTCCAATATCTTATTATAAGAAATAATTAAATCTATATACATACATTCCAACCAACAGCTTCTACGTAGTAATCCAATTTCTCAGAATCTTCATGCTCCGAGTCAGTGTCTAGTAGTGTCTCATTGCCGCTGTCTGAGTCTCGCGTGACACTTCTACTCTCGCTGACATCTGTGACAGCTTTTTGCTCCCCATCTTGTTCTTCTACCTCTTTCAACGGAGCCAAAGGCGTGGATTCCTCTAAAGCAGCTTTTTGTGAAGCCTGCTTTAATATCGAACCGAATTTCTCAAAGAAACTATCGTCGACTTCCTGTACTCTGTAATAGACAATAATTCATTTATAATCTTTTATTTATGGCATTAATAAAAAAATAGATACATAAAATTTTATAATTATAAGTGATCAATAACTATTTGTTTTATGTTTGCTTTACAAATATTACAAGATTTTTTTACTTACAAAAAATTACTATTCAAATACTATGTTATGAAAACATATACATATATATAATACTAGCTTTCCGCCCGCAGCTTCGCCGCGTGGAGTTCGGTTATATCGCGTTTCCAAGAGAACCTTTCAAAAGTCTGGGATAAAAACTATCCTATGTTCTTTCTCAAGGTCAACTCTATCTCTGTACCGAATTTCATTAAAATCAGTTCAGTGGTTTAGGCGTGAAAGCGTAGCAGACAGACAGACAGACAGACAGACAGACAGACAGACAGAGTTACTTTCGCATTTATAATATTAGTAGGGATATGAGAAGGTTTAAGCTAATAATTCTTAATTATGTCGATTCCTCAGCAAAATTAATTAAATACAGGCCAACATAATACTAAATAAAACAGCTGTGTTTAAAGCTGTAATTCATTTAAAAGATTATTGAATATTTTTAATGCTAAAAGGTTAAAAACAAACAATTCCAGATTTCTATTCATATATTTTTTAAATAGCATAATATATGAGGTACATAGTTTAACATTTTATAAATATTATGGGTCTCATGAAATCCCAATTTTACAAGGAGATTAACAACATTCACTAATAAATATTGATTTAATTTTATTTATATAAATGAAGTCGATCACATTTTATTGGAAGACTGGAATGATTAATCCTATATTAAAAACAAATCATAACAACTTAAAAATAGATAAAAACATATAAAATTATATTCATTTGTCTAAAGCTGAAAACAGAGTATATTTGATATCTGTATATTCTTCGACACCATGTTTGCTGCCTTCTCTACCGATTCCCGACTCCTTAATGCCACCAAATGCCGGCTCTGCCGCTGATAATACACCATCATTAATGGCCACCATGCCAAATTCCAACTTCTGAGACATCCTAAATGCCTGGCCGAGATCCTTTGTGAAAACATAAGATCCGAGCCCTGTTCTAGTACTATTCGCAATCTCTAAAACTTCCTCTTCTGTATTAAATTTATGACAAACGGCAACCGGCCCGAATATTTCCTCGCCATATATTTTCATTTCAGGCTTAACGTCTGTCAGTATTGTAGATTCATAAAATTTGGTTCCGTGTTCTAGAGCAGGTTTTCCACCTATCACGACCTTCGCACCTCTTCCACGAGCATCTTCAACTAAACTCTTCACTTTTGTAGCTTGCTCAATATTTATTAACGGCCCGCAAGTTACCCCAGCTTTATATCCCGGGCCGATAATACATTTTTCGATAATCTTATTTTTAAATGCTTCAACAAATGCATCGAAAACATCAGCATGAATTAAAAATCTATTGGCTCCGACACATGCTTGCCCGTTGTTCCTGAATTTTGCCATCATGGCTTGTTCAACTGCATGATTGATATCTGCACTTGGGAAAACTATAAATGGGCAATTACCGCCTAGTTCTAGAGAGACTCGTTTTACACCTTTTGCTGCCATTCCATAAAGAATCTTTCCAACATGAGTGGAACCAGTAAATGAAATACAACCAACGTCAGGATCTTCACATAAAACTTTACCAACTGCGGGGGCATTTTTTCTGCTTGCTGTTACAACATTAATTATACCTTTAGGAAACCCTGCCTCTTCTGCTAATTGAGCTGCTGCTAAAGCAGTCAGCGGAGTGTCTTCAGCAGGTTTTATGACACAAGTGCAGCCTGCCGCCAATAAAGCTCCGACTTTTCGAGTGATCATAGCAAATGGAAAATTCCACGGGGTAATAACAGACACTACCCCTAACGGCTGCCTCGTCAACATTATCTGCTTGTTTGGCCAAGGGCTCGGAATCACTTCACCGTTGATATGTCGTGCAGTATCAGCAAAGAACTCCAAAAACGAACTTCCGTAAACAATTTCACCTTTAGCTTCAGCCAAGGGTTTACCGGCCTCCGCGGTTATAATTTCAGCAAGATGATCCTGGTTTTTAACACATAGATCATACCATCTCCTTAACATAGCCGCTCTGTCTTTAGCTGTTGTATACTTCCACGTACGAAAGCTCTCAGTAGCAGCGGCGATAGCTGTCTTTGCATCCGCAGCATCCATATCAGGTATCTCAGCAATTACCTTATCATCAGCCGGATTCAACACTGGAAATACGGCGTTGCTCTGAGCATTAACCCATTGGCCGTTAATATACGCGTTCTTTCTCAAAAAATGCATATTCCTATAATCCATAATTAACGATTTTGTATTACTTAGCAAAGAACTCCGAAAAATCACCATACTTGTCTCGTGAGTATTGATTATGTGTTTTACACAGCACCACTTGTTATGATAAAGTTATTTATGTTATACGACTTTCGATAAGATAGGAGGAAGAATGAGATCGTATAACAATTGTGAACTGTTGTAATTTAATAGATAAATTATCGTTTTCCGTGCACTGACGGCCGGGAGCCGTAAAAACTGTAACTTAGAACACTTCACAATACGGGCTGACTGACTTTGACAGCCGGCGAAACTATTGAAGAATTGACGTTGTCAGTTTTTACCACAGATTCATATAAGTCTATTTCTAATAAGAAATTGTATAGTATTGATTTATATTTTGAAATTGTAAGTAATAAAAGAAAAAAGATTTTATAATTTTTCATTATAGGTAGTAGGATAAAATTCAGTACACAAATTAATTTATACATATAGTATAATGGAAAACCATTAGGTTAAGTGCAATGAATATAGCATGATTTTAAAATTGTTTTTAATTGCGTTGGATTAATAATAAAATTTACATCTATCCTTTAAAGGCAAGATTAGAATGAACAAACGTTATTGTGACAAATGACAAGACGAACAAAAGCGAAAACATTACCTCAAGGTTAGAGTTTTCTTTGTTGTTATGATATGGTAAAGGGCGACTGACGACGTTTAGCAGTTATGTGTATGATAATATGAAGCTTTAAAAATATTGGAACACACGTAGATTTCAAGAAAATAATAATAAAAAATAAAACGTAAGTACTAAAGCACCAAACATTATAAATGTTTACGAATAAAGAAAATTATTTACCTCGTGTCGTGAATCTGTTCCTCCACAGATTTCTGCTGCTGTAGTTTTTCATAAAAACCTTTCCACATAGATTCCTCGTCCATTTTTATTTTCTTAAAATATTATCACGCTAAATGGAATAACGTGCAACGCGAATCGAGACCAACTAAATGTAAATTAACCGTTACCATAACATAATGTTGATCGTCTGAATCATCAAACAAATCGAGTCATATCTCAGCAAAAGAAAATGACGTAAACACGCCGGTTACCTAAGATTGTTGAACCAAAGGTATCGAGAATGTGAACAAAAAAGTAGGTAATTTTTCAGTGACTAGACGCGAACGTTCAATCGATACTGCCAACCTCCTTAAAATGAAATATATAAACTCCTTGCTTGTTAATAATAATGTTATTTAATGAATTGTTAGATTATTTTGCGTGAATGCGAGTAGGCGAACAAAATAAAACTGACGTAAGCCAAGGCTGACGCGGTCACACTTCACAGTGAAACACCGGTCGGGGCAACAAGTAAATGCATACGAGCGAAATGTTAAGCAATTAATGAAAGGAACTTAATAAAACGTTTGCTTTTATTTTAATATGCTCTAACGTTGTGGATATTTATAAACATTATTCATTCATCACGCTCAGTGTATATCAGACCTCGTGTCTGCGTAGTGCGTACTAATATCTGAACAGAATTTTAAGTAACCAAGACTTTACGGAAAACTTTGAACTAATTACTGATAAGGAAATCAAAGAACAAAATTTCATACTTTTCATAGATTTTACTTTACATATTTAAATAGTTTGTCATCAGTAAAAATAATATGAAAGTAATCAATACATTTATCTTTGAATATATCACGCAGAAGAAATGATTTAATAGCTGATTGAACTAATAATTAATATAATAAAATTATTGATTGCGATACCATTATGTAACTTGGGCCAAAATGTCACCAGATAACTTTCTGACAGTATATAATAATAAATATATATAATAATAAGAAATATAATAATAAATTAAAAACCGGCCAAGTGCGATTTCTAGTGCGGATACGAATTATACTAAATGTTCCGTACATTAAATACAAACAAAAAAAAATCTTATTTATTTTTGTATGAGAGAATCCCTAAATAAAAAAAATGTGAATGGAGTCTCTCCTCTTAGAAGATGTGAAACTTCGTAATGTAGAAATTAAAATAGGAAGTTTTAGACATAGTTTTTTAGGGAACTCATATTTTTTCTTTAAGACAGACTTTATAAACATTGCTCAGAATTCACAATTGACTAAACCATCTACTCTCGCTCCATCTCTTTCTATTCCCATTCTCTAGGAGCGTTGAACATTTAACGCAACCTTGTTGGAAGTTGCATTAGAAGTTTCACTTCAATTATTCTCTTTTTAAATACTTTCTGTTAGAAATACATCAGAAATACATAATTTGTAATAATTACAATTAATTGAACATTTATTGGAAAATAAAAGGACTTTGGAGACCCAATTATAAAGTCTCGTTTTACCGTTTGCCTACGGAACCGTGTTTTTTTAAAGGCATTGTTATCGAGTTACTTTAATTCAGATGACCTTGAAAATACTAGTACCGAATTAAACGCGCACTAGTTCTTTTTTAACAACTTTTTGTCGACAATCAGCTTACAGAATCAAATATCAAATAAATACGCCCCTAATGGCCTCTGTTAGATAATTTTACCAACATATAGCTCTAATTAAAATGTTACTATGCTATTTTGTACTACAAAAGTTTATTCACTTTGAAATATTGATTGGGTAGTTAAATGATAAAGTAATTTCTTTGGATTTACAAATGTTATTTCAAATGAATTTTTGTTTTTATGAAGTTCATTTCAAATGTATTCCGACACAGTAATTATACGGGTACCTTCATTAAGAGGCCTAACAATCTATTACAATGTCAGTAAAAATTAATTTTGATATATGAAATCTGTATTGTGTATACCTACTTAATATTATAAATGCGAAAGTAACTCTGTCTGTCTGTCGGTCTGTTACGCTTTCACGCCTAAACCACTGAACTGATTTTAATGAAATTTGTTACAGAGATAGAGTTGACCTTGAGAAAGAACATAGGATAGTTTTTATCCCAGACTTTTGAAAAGTTCTCTTAGAAACGCGATATAACCGAACTCCACGCGGGCGAAGCCGCGGGCGGAAAGCTAGTAGTGATATAAATATCAATGGTTTTGTTTGTTTGTTCGTTCGTAATTGGTTTGTAGTCGTATAGAAATACAATATATATAGAAATATAGGAATCCTTTTTGTTCCAAGATCTCTCAATACGAAGTGAAGTCGTGAATAAAAAATATTATATCTATACATACTCGTAGTTATATTACATTCTTCTTCTACTTGGCGATTTCTCAGCTTTAGCCAGGGTCTGTATTACATTCTTATTGAGTATTTAAGCAATTTTAGTAACAGAGCACAAGAAAGCGATGTTCATATGTCTGTTTATTTTGAACCGAGATTGAATATTATCAGAATTATTCCTATTAACAAACGCACAATACATAGCTACTATATAATACATGAGGTCTAATAACGGCAGATTAAGTACTTGATGGTCACAATAGGCCCTTCAATTGTGATCAGTCAGTACTTACTCAATATTGAACACACCGAATTTCAAGCTTTGCTCATATTTTTTATTGAAAGTGAGGGTAGTTTTATGCTTTTTATAATCAACGTCACTGTTGAGTTAATTTTTACGAAATAGGTTTATTATATTATAAGTAATTTTCACGATCTATCTGGAGTTCTAATACTGGTATGATATATTTAAAAATTTGTATACTTTAATTAATTATAATTTTAATTAAAACTAATATTACTTTTATATAAAGTTCGGACTTTAAAGTTTTATTATAAACAGCGCGTTTAGATAAAACAGTTCTTATTAAAAGTTGCGTAAATACGACATCAGTATATATACTTTGGTATATTTACTGTGTTTGATTCTGTGTTTTGTACGCTTAGTATAAGTTTTCATCGTCACACTTCATACGGAAAGTTAATAGTTTATCATTCATAAATTCTCCTACACGATAATAAAGGAAATTATTAAATGAGGAGCAGGAAACGAATTGTGTGTAGTGTGACGATGCAGACTCGTGTTAAACAAACAGATAGAACGCGATATATTCCACATATTGATGGCTCCTATGTATAAGGGCCAATGTGCAATATAACATAGCATTCAATAGGTGGTAGAGCCTAGTTGTAGTCAATTACTACAGCTGGAACATGGGCTGGCCCGACCGGGGAAGTACCACCCTCTCACAGAAGATCGGCGTGAAGTAGTCTTTATGGCTGCGTTTCGTCCGATGAGTGAGAGAGCCGGTTGCCCTTTCCCTATTCCTACCCTTTCCTATCATTTCCTGATTCCCACCCCTCCCTATCCCTAAAAAACAAGGTTGGCAACGCATCCGCAACAAAATGTTGCGGATGTCCATGGGCGACGGTAACCACCTTCCATCAAGTGGGCCGTCTGCTCGTTTGCCAAGCTTAACATAAAAAAAAAAAAAAAAAAAAAAAAAAAAACAATTTTTCAGTAGAGACGTTTTAAATTTGATTTCAATGTATCTTGTACATGCGACAACTGATGCTTTCGAAACTTTGCAGCAACTATGACATACGTGTAAACAACAAACCACCAACAAATACGCATTTTTTTGAATGGATGTTGTAGAAAAGAGTATTATGAAGTGTTTAAAGCAAAAAAATTAAAATGGCTTAATTGCTACATTGGCGATTAAACATAGGACCCATCAATATAGTAGGTTCGATTTCTGATCGTCTTGATGGATTTTTGATGAATAATTTACTATAAATATATATATTTAGCCTATCAGAGCCCACTGCTGAGCAAAGGCCTCTTTCTCTCATGGAGAAGGTTTGAGCATTAATCACCACGCTTGCTCAAGACGGGTTGGTGATTTCAAATTTATAATTGTGAAATTATAAGTCCAGGTTTCCTCACGATGTTTGTCTTCACCGCCTGTCAGTGGTATCTAAATACCCCTATAAAGTACATATGACTCGAAAAATCACATTGGTACTTGCCAGGATCGAACGCGCAACCTCATGCATGAGAGGCGGGCCCTTTTATCACTAGACCACCACTGACTTATATATATATATATATATATATATATATATATATATATATATATATATATATATAT